AAGAACCCAAGTTTCTTTTCTAACATGCCAGGCTTGATATGCTTTCTCCACTTCCTGGGAAAGATTTTAGCGGGGAGTGTGACGGTGGGACAAACCAAACAGCGTTCAGTGGGATGGAATGAGCTGAATCAACAGTTGCAATTAGTTCCACGCTTCTTTATTAACTTCCTCCATGTGCCCCACACGGGAGACATCCCCCGTTTCACATGGAAATGCAGTCCTTTGGGTGGAACCCAACAGCTGTTTCCCAGCCCACAGGCACGATCCTGAGCAGCACAGGAGAGAGAAACCCATTAAAATGCTCCTGCCACTCAAAAAACTGCAGGGGAGGGGGTTTGAGGGGTGAAATGTAATTATCAGGGCTGGCTCCTGGCCAGGGAGCTGCCTGTGGCACTGCCTTTCTCCTGCAAACACTGGCCAGTCTGTGTTGGGGCAGCCCAGGGGTGAGGTACCTCTGCCACTCAAAGGGGTGGGAGATTGGAGGGCTTTGTTCCCGCCAAAGAAAAGGACAGAATTTATCTTAATAATGATTTACAGCCTGTCACTTGTTGGTGGGAGAAATGAGGGGCTTTAGGTGGCCCAGCAAAGCGGGGAGCAGCAATTCCACCTTGGAATTGCCAGGGCAAGGACCTGTGAATTCTCTCGAGTGCTCACCCACCCCCCCTCAGAATTCTTCTGCTTCTTCAGTCACTGATAAATCCTCACCTGCCTTGAGAGAGGCCAGGGCTGTGCCCACCCCAAAGCACCAGCTGAGCCCAGAATTCCATGGAGTCAGGTGTTCCACCACCTTTCTGATGCCTTGGACACATGGGAAGAATAAACCAGGCAGTGCAGTCAGAATAATCTTGCTGCGTGTGCCATCTCCTGCTGCAGATTTTCTTTTCTAGCCCAACAAATGTTGTTCTGATGCTCTTTTGGGATGGTTTCTGGGTTTTTTGGTTTCTTGTTTTTTTTTTTTTAGTTTGGTCTGCAGCCCTCCATTTATATTCAGTGCTCTTGAACACAGGGATCTGTAAGTCAAGAAGGAAAGCTCTGATGAAGGGCAAGTGCTCCACTTGTAGCCAGACACAGATGTGGACAGTCTGTGTCTTGTTTTAACAATTTAATTGCTTCAAGATCTTAATTGCCTAAACCTCTGAAGTCGGGTCCTCTTGCAGGAGCTCCCAGGTCCTGCTTATCATATGAGTAAGATCACCTTAGGCAACTTATTTAAACTGTTACACTCCTGGGTTCATTTATTTATTATTATTTATTATTATTTATTATTATTTATTTACTTGTTATTATTATTGTTTATTATTATTATTATTATTCCTCAGGGGCAAAATTTCACCCCGAAGGCTGTGTCTGTGAATTAAAGTGTGCTTTGTGTGGAAGTGCCTGTGACCAGCAGCACAGCCAGCACAACTTGGATCTTGTTTTGGGGAGGTAAACATGGGAATATCTGCACTGGCCACCACGTTATCATCGTGGCTGTTGTGCTTGTGATTTGCTGCTTGAAATGTGAAAGATGTTTATCTGGGATTAACAAGCTGCTCAGAAACAGGGGATATTGCCAGTGTGGTTTTTTTGAGTTCAAATGTATCTCGAGTTCACTCTGTCTGGTGCTGAACTGATTCAAGTTCAAGGTGATTTAATTCCTGAAAGAGCAGTGTGGGTAATTTTTTGCAGCTCTTTTTCCCTTTGTGATGGTAATGGCAGTGTCTGAGGGTGTTTGTGACTCTAATCCCACTGCTGGTCAGTAAGAAGTGGGTACCCAGTGCCTCATCCTTGAGGAAATCACAGCCCTGGGGGAAATATTCCCGAGGAGTTGCTTTGCTGGGGTGGATTTTGCCCCTGCTCAGCAGCACTCCCAGGGTGACCCACAGCCTCCAGCAGCTGGGTTTGCCTCCACAAACTAACTTCTCAATTCTGATTTCTGTGGATCAGTGGCCAGAAAGTGGTCAGTGGGCTGTTGAAACACACTTTTTGCACAGGGAATGCAAAATTCTCCCAGTTTAATGGGAGAATGCCCTTTGTAAAGTCATTGAAAATGAGAACTAGGTCCTTCAGTTCGTGGAATTCTCTTTTCATTTGACACAAATGGGTTTGCTGGGTCCTGCATTGCCAAGGCTTCTCCCTCCAGGAGCAGGGAAAGGCTCAAGAGCAAATACCCAGAGATATGGAAGGGATTTGTCTTGGAGTCAGGTGTTGCCATCAGCAAAGCAGGAACGTGTTTCCCTGCTCCCAAAAACCTCGTGCCAAGTGCTTGTTTGCAGAGCTTGCTACAATCCAGAGTGTGGAGGGTGAGGGGATGTGTAGATCTTACTTACACACCCGGTTTCATCTCTTTTTTTTTCCCCCTCTTTTCTTTTTTCCTCTTTTTATCCCCTGGTTTGATTTTGGCAGCGAGGAGAGATTCCTCAGGGGATGAGCCACGCTCAGAGCCGTCCTTGCATCTCCAGAATGCCAACAATACTTTCTAAACATCTCCCTTTAACTCCCCCACCTGAAAGAAAGAAAGCCTTAATTATCAAGTTATTAGGAAAAAGCTTGTGTTGTTTTTTCCCTTCAGTGTTTCCTCTGTTGCTCTTTGCTTTGGTGATAAAGAGTTTGAATAATGCAGCTGACTCCATGTGGTGCTGGAGAACTGTTTTGTCTCCAGGCAGTTCCTTTTTGACAGCCTGTGTGTGTTTCCCTTCTCATATTTATGGTTTATGCTCTCAGGAATAATGCCCTGCATCTGGAATGCCAGTCCCCTCTTATCCTGCTCCTTCTCCATCCCTTTCTTTAACAGCCAGCATCCATCTGATCATTAAATTAGAATTAGTCCTCAATAAATTAACCAGTTATTGTTGGGACCTCTTTTATACCCCAGTTCTTCCACAGCTAAAAATAAAGGGAGGCTGAAACCCTGTTGCCTCTCAGTGAAAGGTATTAATTTATATCATTAATGGAGCATTTATTTAATTAAAGACCTTATAATTGTATTGTTTAAGGAGACTTGGCCAAGTGATTTGGGGGCTCAGGGGATTGGTGACAGGATATAACCCTGGTCACCTCCAGGTCACTAATTCAAGTCTAATTTCTGTGGATCATGGCCAGAAAGTGGTCAGTGGGCTGTTAAAACACACCTTTTGCATAGGAAATGCAAAATTCTCCCAGTTTAATGGGAGAATACCCTTTGTAAAGTCATTGAAAACGAGAACTCGGTCCTTCAGTTCACGGAATTCTCTTTTCATTTGCCTTCCTGCTTGCACAGTAGAGAACTGGGATCTCTTCCTCCCCTTTTAGGCTCTTAAATAAAATATAACCACTTAACCTGGCAGGTAAAGCTGAATTAGAACTGGGACTGCTAATTGGGAATCGTCCTGTTCTGTTTGCAGAGATAAATTAAAGGGAGTCTTGGATCAGTGCATGTTTGTTTTTCTGTAGTGCTGCTTCACCCAGTGAATGGTTCTTCTCCCCTGGGCTTTAGGGTGCATTTAGACTTTCATCTCACTTGTGCAGAATTGGTGGGATCCTGCCTTTCTAGCTTAGAAAATCGAGGCAAAAATGCTGATTTCATTATAAAATATTCACTGAGCCATTGACTCTCTTTGGTTCCTGGGTGTTCCTTTCAGCCATGAGCTCCTTTGCAGCATAAGGAAGATTTAAAACCAAAAATAATGTGGAAAACCAGTTTCACCTGGGTGTACAAAAGGAAACTCGAACACAAAGCATCTCTTGCCTTTTTAAAATACTTATTATTTCCTTGTCAAACACAGAAAAGTAGGTACTAGCCAGTAGATAAGTGGGTGGAATCAGATCTTAGTCAAATCTAAGATCCTGTGTCAATCAATGTATTAAAATGAGCCACAAACCAGGAGGGTGGGGAGAGGAAGAGAATCATTCTTCTTTCTCTTGTCTGTTTATCTGCTGATTAAAGATGTCACACTGGGAGTGCTGAGTGGAGATGGATGCCCTGAATTTATTGGGAACAAGGCTGAGTGTGGTGAACCCCTCGTGTGCCGACCGTGCCTGTGATCCATTATCCAGGAGCATCCCTGTTAATGATTGAGGGTATTGATGGCATTAGTTGTTCCAGGCAGAATTTACATCCAGCCTTGTGACAGGACTGGAATATATAACAATTCCCAAACACACCAGGCTCTGTGTAGACATGTGGTGTTCGGAATGAGAAGATGGATTGTCGCGGCGTGTCTTTAATTCCCAATTTCCACGTGGGTTCTGTGTGCGTTGGGTGCTCTGCAGCCTTTCCTTCCATCCTGACTCAAAGGCTGCCAGGCCCCTCCAGCTTCCAGGAATGCAAATGCCAGTGTCAGAGGAGTTTTGAAGGTGACAGCTCCACATTTTGTCCAAGTTTTCAGGTCCTCATGAATTACAGAAGAGCGCTCACTGCACATCTTGTTTTTATGGCACAGCTGGAAAAACGCCTCTTCCTACCTGCAGCTCTGCCTTGAGGGAACACTGAGGGACAAAATGGGCACAAGAGATGAGCAGAATGAACATCAGGAATCTTAGTCCTCCTCTAAAAGTGTATGGCTCTTGAGGTTGGGTGGATTTGGGGTTTAATTCAGAAGGTCAGGCCAGACCAGATTGTGGATTTTCAGGGGGTTTGAAGCTGTCTGTGGAAGGAGTTGTGCCACTTTTGGGCTGTCCTACTGTCAAGTTTTCAGCTCTGCCTTTTTACTCTTGGCCTGGCAGGGCCAGACTGAGAGCACAGCCCTGCAATGTGAATCCCCCAAAAGTGCCCTCCCCGCCTGCTGTGCTGCTTTTCCAGGGGTGAGAAGAGTTTGGGGGGCCTGCAGGAATTCTGTGCACATCCCAGGCTGCTGCTGGTTTCATGTTGGGATGGAATGCACCCTGATTTTGTGGGGGTTTGGCAGCAATCTGTGTGCTTCCTTCCCTCCAGTTTCCCTCCAGGTTTTTTAGCAAAAGTGGCTGAAAAATCTCTATGTCAGAGTGGAGAAACTGCTACAAATGTGGGAAACTCTCTTTTTTTTTCTTTCTCTTGACAGCTGGTCCTGGCTGAAAGTTCTCACTCTGACACGGGTTCCCAGTGCACTGAGAGCCACACAGACCTTCCACCACCCCTCGAGAGAACAGGAGGCATCGGAGACTCCCGCCCTCCATCCTTCCAGTAAGGGCAAATTATCTTATTTATTTATTAAATTGCAATTCCTGCCTGTTTATTTCTCCTGCTGCCGCAGTTGTTGTCATTATAAAAATAACATATTGAGGAATTAAAGGGGAAATGGATGAAATAAATATCCAAACCACCTCATTTTCGAAGCCGTCGTGGAAGAGTTAAGCAGCGAGGGAGCTCAAAATGCTTTCTGTGGTGGATGGATGACAACTTATTAGGGTGCTGTGTGTAATTATGGAGTGTGCAGAGCCAGCTGAACGCTGCTATCAGGAAGGGAAAATTTCCATCAGGAATAATGCCTCGTCCATGGTCCATCCAGAGGCTGCCAGAGCTCTGTGTGTGGCCGGACTGGGAGCCCTCTGGTTTCATGGGAGCCTCGTTATTTCCTGTTCTGTGTGCAGAGCCAATGGGTATCCTGAAAATACCTTCATTTTTTAGGGAGGGCCTCGGAATTTAGGGAGGATTTAAAGCTGGTTCTAACTGAGATCTTAGCCCGTGTTTGGAGAAGGAAACGTGGCCTCGATTTGCCTGGTGGTGCCACTGATTTCTGGGATCACCGACACCCTTAGTGTTGTGTGTGAGTCTTGTACAGATAAAAGCCTTCCAGAGGGGACAAGAAATCCTGGGAAATACCTGCCAGTGTGTCTTGCAAGGGCTGTGCTGCCCTCCTGTGTTCATGAATTGCCTGGGAGAGGCCTGTGCCAGTGCATGTGACCAGAAAATAAAACCAGTTCTTTGTCTTTCTGACCTAAACCTACGTGGAATAGCTGCAAGATCAACCTTTATTGTAAAAAAATAACCACCCTGTAAGTCAGACACTCTCTCTCCACCCTTTTTTTTCTTTCTTTTTCTCTCTTGCATTAGAGAATCTGGCTTGTGGGGAGATGATCTGGGCTAAAACTGCTCTCGCTTAATGCCTTTTTAGGTTCTTCTGTTCACAATTGAATATCTTAACGTGTTACAGTGGTTTTTGCTGCTGTGTTTTATGAAATAGTGGCCTGAGTTTATATCCATAACTCAGGACAGAGTATCTCACTCAGTTATTCTGCACAAAGCCCTAAATTCTGTTTCACTGTTAGAATTTAATTTTAAAACACACCTCAGTCCAGGTTTGAAGATTCCCAGCGGTAAAGAATCCACTGGGTTTTGAAATTATTTTGTTTCTCTTGGATAAGCTTAAGTTGAGCTGCTCTAAGTCTTTAATTGTAAAGCCTGGCTTCCAAAACCTGAATCGTGACTGTTGTCCTCCAGAAGTTTTGGAAAATGATGTTTCTTGGGGATTTTGCTGTGGTGATTCTGCAGTAAGTGTGATTTACCTTCTTGGGTCCTAAATCCCTGAGATTTTTTTTTTAATGCTATTTGAGCTGCCAGAGATGTGTCATCTCCTGCCTTCCTCCTCCAGTGTTGATTGAGGCCTTATTTATAAATAAAGAAGTACCAGCTGTTGTATAATTGTACAGAAATTGTACAGAATTGTACAGAAATGTTGCTGGACAACCAAGAATCCAGGGAATAGATGCAGCAGGAACATCAGCAGGCAATGCCATCCAAGGGAATGAGGTCCTTGTTGGAGGTGAAGTGGTAACCACCTCCTGACAGCATTGATATTTTGATTAATCATTGATTAAACCCAAATAGAACTTAACTTTTTCCCCTCCCTGCTGCGGGTTCTGAAGTTCATCCTGGATTTCAGGCTCTGTTTGGTGGTTGGCAAATCCCTGGGAGTGGGTGAGGCTGCTCCTGGTGTGGTGGTGGAGGTGCAGGAGCCAGGTGAGAGCACTGACCTCCCAGTTACCTCTGTCCCCCAGCTCTTGGGGATGTGCTCTGCAAACTGAGCTGGGTTTAATTGGCTCAGCAGGGAGAGGGGAAACAAGGCAGCTGGGAGTTCCTTTTGCATCCTTTGTTAGGGAATAACCCACCTTTTGTGGGCGGGTTTAGCCCAGGAAGCGATTTGGGAGTGGGAATTATGAGCGGAGTCAGTAGATGGTGCTGCTGGGATGTCCAAGGGACTCTCAGGGTGACCTGAGGGATCTGCCACCCCTCTCCCCCTTTTCAGCTGAACAAGAAGTGCAAACAGCCGTGTGACAGCACTGAAACACAGCCTGGCATTTTTGGCAGGGCTTCAGATGGGCAGGCAAAGGTTTTCTCGAATGACAACCTCGATTTCCTCATTTCCGTGGTGGGCATGTCAGCACATTTATTTCCTTCGTGCCCACAAAGTGTGTGTGGGTGTGCAGGAGGCACAAAAGCCTCTTAAATATAACACTCCACACTTGTGCTTACACAGAACCAGTCCTGGGTCCAGGGACAGGTTGGTTGGATGGTTGGGGGTTTAATTCCCTGTGTAAAACAGGCGGGGCAGTGTTCTCCAGCCTCGGGGAGTCCTGGGAGTGATACATGAGTGCCTCTGGTGCTTTGTGTCAGTCAGTGGTGGTCATTACACCCTCTATGTGCATAAGTGAGGGCGTGTCAGGCATGAATAGCAGGTGCACAGGTATGAATGGGGAGTCCTTTTTAATCAGGTGGTGTTTGAGGGACAGAGAGGAAGAGTAGGACCAGTAACTTTCTAAGGGTGATGTTCCACAGCAGAGCTTTAGCCCATGTCACATCATACACTGTTGTATTTTCAGGAGCTTTAGGTCACTTCCCTCAGTTTAATCCATTAAAGTGATCTGTGGCCTTTTCCAGCACTGGAGCTCAGAAGGAAGATGGAGAGAGAGAATTTGTGAGAGCCTGGAGTGCAGGAGGACAAGGGGGAATGGCTTCAAGCTGCCAGAGGGCAGGGTTAGGTGGGATATTGGGAGGGAATTCTAGGCTGTGAGGGTGGTGAGGGGCTGGGATGGAATTCCCAGAGAAGCTCTGACTGCCCCTTCCCTGGAAGTGTCCAAGGCCAGGGTGGACAGGGCTTGGAGCAACCTGGGCTGGTGGAAGGTGTCCCTGCCTATGGCAGGGGGTGGGACTGGATGAGCTTTTTAACACAGAGCACTCTGTGCTTTTATGCACTTAATTATTTTCAGCTTTGCTGTGACTTGCAGGACTTCAACCTTCAAGGTCAGTGCTCTTTATTAAAAGTGGCCAAGGAGCTGTAGCTCCTGCCCTTTGGCTGGGAGCTCAGCACGTGCCAGAATGATCCCTCCCCTTGGCCCATCAGCACCTCTCTTTCCTATGGAAATGTCAGGCAACAGTCTTGTCAGGCAGCTTTTCCCACGTCGTGGTGATGTGCAAATACTGGTGCAGACAGCACCGTGTGTCTGAGGGCATTTGAAAATCACCCTTTCACTGTTTGAACAACATTTGCACTGTTTGGAAATAGCACCGTGTGTCTCAGGGCATTTGAAAATAATGCTTTCACTGTTTGTATAATATTTGTGCTGTTTGAAAATAGCACTGTGTGTCTCAGGGCATGGATGTGGAGTTGTGTTTTCACCCCCCAGGTGGGTTTTTGGGGTGGGCAGAGCCAGGCTGGGGGAGGAAAGGGGGTGCAGCGCTCGGCTGCAAGAACAGTTTTCTGGCTGCTGAACCGACTGTTTTACTGAAAGAGAGAAAAAAAGAGATGATCCTGGTGTTTGTTCCTCTCTGTTCTGTGACAGCCCCAACGCTGCCAGCAGCAGGGATGGCCTGGACAATGACACAGGGACAGAGTCAGTCATCAGCCACCGGCGGGACAGGCACCGGCGGAGGAACAGGGAAGGGCACGAGGATGGTGAGTCCTGGCTCATTTCCCCCTCCCTCCCTCACCCCCCTTCTTTTCATTCAGAAAGAACAATTTTCCTGCCAGTCTTTCAGAACAACAATTGCTTTTTGCCATGCAAGGAGACTTGTGTCTGTGTTCCTGCGTGCTTCCAGGGACTGTGATTATTTTAATGGAATAATTTGATAATTGCTTTGAAACTCTTTGAAGCTCGGCGTTTTCTGAGAGGTCTGGGCAACCTGCAGTAAAGTGGCAGAGAGATTATTTTTGACAACATTCAGAGCTTTCTGAAGATGAGTAGCTTGGAGAGGACTAACTGTTCATTTCTCAAGGCTCAGATCAGCCGTGGTGTTTTGTGCCGATCTAACGTTGGCTCTGGAGATCTTTTTTTATATCTAAATACACCCAAAGTACACAAATAAACTGCAGAACTCTGTCTCTTGCCTCTAGTCTGTACATCAAAGTAAGCTTGGTTTTTTTCATTCGTTGCCAGACAAGAATTTCCAGGCTTAATTAAGAATTAATAGGTGCCACCCATTGAGTTTAAAATGGTCCAGAATTTGGAATACTTGGGCCCAAGAGATGCTGTCACAATCTTTATTCACAGCTCCACCCACTAAAGTATTTGCCTGCAGTTAGAAAACCAGAAATCACATCTATGTACTGTGGGCTAAAAACAGGTGTCTTCCTGCTCATTTAACCCTTCCAACATGTCACTGATACAGAAGGACTGAAAATTCCTCAGTAGGTGTCTGTGCATGACCCTGACTGCAAATTCCTTCGGGAAATCACAGAAAGGGGCAGAATTTTTTAATAGTTTAATTTCCACAGTGTTTCTGTGGTCACAACAATATTTTATTTGACAGTAATGACAAAGAATACATACAATAACACCCCAGTGTGTTGTTTTCAGCGGGGAGCATCCCTGAAGTGCACAGTTGAGCACTGTGTCCTGAATTGCCACTTGAAAATACTAAAATAAGTGAAATACCCTAATTCTGGAAAGGATTTGAAGGCCTTTTCATCACAGGGATTATTCTTTTCTTGTTTGTGTGGAGCATAGGTGGATGTAAAATGGGGGAGCAGTCCTGGGGAAAGGGGAACAAGGATGGGGAAAGGGCAGCAGGGTGTGACACCTGGATCCCAGCTCTTCCAGGGGCTTGTCATTGTGAAACAGTGGTAAATCCTCCTTTCCCTGCAGAAAGAAGGGAATGCAGTGAGAGTGTTTGATCTGGTCCTGCAGGGACTCGTTTGAATAATACCAAAATTACAGCTCTGGTGGTTTTGGAGGGGCAGGATGAGGGATCTCCTTGGAGCCCTGCATTACTCAGAGGTTTGTTGCAGAGACACAGGGAGAGCCCTGCCGGCTCAGCCAGCTGAACAATAACCTGAGCACCGAGTGTTTGGAACTCATTTGGGGCTCATTGTTGGGTGAAGTGTGAATGTTTGAGCTCCCCCTTGGTGTAAAGAGAACAACAAACGAATTAACCTACCCCGGCAGTGAGGGTTTCCCTGGATACTCTGCAGAGGGAAAGGAGCACTTGTTCCTCAGGAAAACATGAGCAGTGTATTACAGCCTTCACTTCCAACAGGTGAAGTGAGAGAAGGTGCTAAGGAGCCCTTTGGGAACTGTAGAGGTGCAGACACATCGAGCCAAAACCTGTACAGGTCGAGGAGGCTGAGTCCACTGATCCCAGAGCAGAACTGAGAGGCTCAGCAGAACTGAGGATCTTGTTCTGACCAGGGAAAACCCCAGGGCTGGGAAGAGAAGGGAAGCAAAACGAAGATTTTTCTGTCCTACTCTTTCCGTTTTAATTTGCAAAAATGATTTCCTGATTTTATTGAAAAGCTTTGCCAGCTTTCAGTGTGACAGCCTGGGCTTGGACAGCCTCTTACAGAGGCTTTCAGGTTTGATTTGGAGCCTGGGTGATGGGAAGTTAACCAGGTGGTAATTAAAAGTGTGGTATCATGGGTGGGTTGTTCACCAACCCAGCCTGTGTGTTTTCCTTCGTCGTTGCAGGATTACTCATCCCCAAAAAAGCTGTTTCTGCTGAATTGCTGCTGGGCAATTACAGACACAACAGAGAGAGGCCATTATAAATATTGAGGGCCCTGGCAGATGTGGACACACCTGGTGATCTGACAACGTTTTCACACCTCTTCCATATTGAAAATGCAAAAGGATTTTGCAGCAGAGGGGCTGTGATTTGCTAGACCAGGAATCCACTCAGATAACAACACAGGCTGAGGCATTTGTAAGCTCTTCCACCCATTTCCCTTAAATTATGCTCCTCTTTTAAGTGCAGAGGCAGTAAATGCTTGTATCTTCTCCTGTGCTTGTATCTTCTCTGATTTCCAAGTGATACCCACAGTGTGGTGGCTTGAGGAACATAATAAAACTCTTTTGTTCATCCACATGCTTTTGGAGGTTTGTGACAGTGCAGGAAATCTTCAGGAAAACCGATCTGGAGAAGAAATCAGGATTGTCAGGGCTCTGCTTTGTCTCTTCAAGCGACAAAAGTTGCTTTGGAAAGTTGACAAAGTCCTGTTAAGTGAAAGTAGAGTGAGGATCTTAATTAGAGACGTGGGAGGTCTGCCTGGCACATGTTCTGGGGACCCCTGGCTGTGGAGAACAAAGCTCCCGTGTCAGTCTGCTCAGGGGGAGTGGGAAAGGGGCCTGGGGAGGCTCTAATTAGGGAGGTAATTAAGGGACAAGTTTCCTTTGGCGTTGAGGGATGTTTTAGAGCTGCTGCTGGGTCTCTGACAAGTCTGCAGATGTCAAGTGTCGACACTGGTGCTTCGACACCAGGTTTGCTGTGGGCTGAACTTAACTGTTGTGCAGGCAGCTGAAAAATGCCACATAATGGCCTGTGCCTTGAGAAGCTCTTCATGTGGGCAGGCTTGTAGATCCCCAAATGTTTGGGAAGAGGAGCTGTTGGAGGTTTCCACTCAGTGCTGCAATATATGGATTTTTTTACTGCAGAGTGTGCCAAGGAATCTGAAGAAGGGCTGGAACTAGAAAACAGTTGCAGTGGGAACTCGAAGCCTGTCTTTGGTGGAGTGATTAGAGGCTGTTTGAGGGTTCCAAAGAACTTCAAACACGAGGCAAAGCAGGATGCAGGGGTAGGGCATGGATATGGGTACAAGCATAGAGCAGGAGTGGACAATCTGATCATTCTTCCCTACTTCCAGAGCAGGGACTGAGCCCTGCACCCAGAGGAGTTACGAGTCTTTATTGAGAAACTGAGAACATATTTCTGTTAATAACTGGCAAAGACTTTCTGCACTGGAGGGGATTGGAAGGGCAGTTGTTTTTCCTTGTAACTGGGAGCTTGGATGTGCCTTCTCCCTGAGACACCCTTGTTCTCTGCAGTATCACAGAACCCTCCTTACACCTTCCTTGAGCAGATGCTGCTCTTCCCTTTCTGCTTTCCAGGCTGCTTTGATTTGGTCTTTGATGTGCTTCTGTCCCTCAGGCAGGGCCTCCTCTGCTGTTGATAAAAGTCAAGGAGGACACATTTTACCCTCCCAGGCTATGCTTTATTCTCATCTCTGTGAGACACTCCAAGGCTTTTGTCAGAAGGTCCCAGTGAACTCTTGTCATCCTCCAAGGAAGAAACAGGGGCAGGGGGTCAGCAGGGCAGAAAGTCCCTGGTCATTAGTGGGACAGGCATTGAACCAGAGCAGGGAATGATTCTTGTTGGGACTTAAAACTTGGATAAGTGGGGGTATTTTGTGAATAAACCCCTTATAACCATGGTTTGTGAAAGTACTCAGTTACGTTTCCTGACCTCCCCTGCCCCCAAACTATGCTGGAAAAGGGAATTTTATTTGAGTAGAGAAATTAGGAAAAACTTTTATGTATTTAAATGCACACCTTAATTACACAGGAAACCTTTCTTGTGAGTTCAAGGCTGCCTGGTGCTGTTTGGGATGTATAAAATGGAGCTAAAATTGAAGTTTAAGTGGCTGATAAAATAAATTTTAGCTGCTGCAGCAGTGCATGGGAGCTTTTCTGTAGCAGAATACCTAATTCAAACAGGAAATGTGAAGTTGAACTCTGTTTAAAATATAACAGAGAAGATATAGCTGGATAAAGGAAAGGGAAAAAATTTAAGCAGGAGGCATTAGTGGTATAGTGAGCCCTTCTAATCTACATAAACTGGGTTGTTCTGGAATATCTAGAAATAAGGATTGTTGTTTAAGGTTTTCTGTACTACCAAACTCACATTGTGTTACCTGCTGCTTTCCCAGGGACTTTATTTGTACCTTCCCACTGACACCAACTTCTCCTGGCCCTTCTCACTGATGGCTGATACCTTTACAGGAGTTGTTGGTGCCTCCTCCTTCTGCCTCAATCCATTTTGACTTGTCCATGAACTGAGCCACAGGCAGATGGAAAAGTTAGGGAGAAGGCAGGCCAGTAGATTTTGCAGCTGTTGAATGGGATCAGCTTGGTTTTGGCACAAGAGTCCTCTGCAGCCGTGGCCGTGCCCGTCCTGCTGCTCCCAGTGCTGCTGCTTCCCTGCCCTTCCCCTCTGCCTGATAACACCCCCTCTGTGATTTTTTTGGCAGCCCCTCGGATCAATGGGCACCCAAAGCTGGACAGGCACCGGGAGCACCCCCCTGGCTACGACAGCTCCTCCACCATGATGAGCAGTGAGCTGGAGTCCAGCAGCTTCATCGACTCCGAGGACGACGACAACACGAGCAGGTGGGGCACTGCCACGGGCACCGAGCTGGGAAATGCTCCTTGCATCTCTCTCCAGGCTCTCCACTGTGACTCTGGGCTTGATTTGGATCTTCTCCTTCCCCCTTTTCATTCCTTTTTTTCCCTAGTGTGTATGATTTGAGCACTGGCTGTGCCACTCAGTGCCATGGTCTACTAGACAAGGTGGTGTTGGGTCGACTCTATGATCTTAAAGGTCTTTTCCAACCTTGTTGACTCTGTGATAACTCATCAATAACATCATGTTGTGAATAATCTCTGCTCTAAGAACCAAGCTCAGTTACAGGGTCACTCTCCAACCTACCTGTAGCCACTGCTCCAACAAAGAGGAAATTCTGCTCCTGCCCTTTCCTTTTAACAGCAAGAATGGTCACATTTTAAGATCAAAGCAATGTGCAACTGCCTACCTATTTATAAAGTAATAGTGTGAATAATTATATTAAAATACCTTCAGCATAGGTTCCTAATAAGTGTGCACTTCACTAGAGCTGAATTATAAAGGAATTCCTGTGTAATTGCATAGTCTGAGACCTGTGAGCAGTACAGGAATTCATCAAAGTTAATGCTATTGCAAAGGCAGGCTGGGTTGCCATATATTTATGGCTCCTTCATTATTTCTTTCTTTCTGTGAATTATTCCTCACTTCTTGAAAAATACCTCTCCATTTGGAAAGATGCTTGTAAATCTCTAAAGATGTTTTTGTTGTTCCCTAAAAGGTTTATAAGCCAATACATTTCTCGGATTTAAAATGCTTATTTTTAAGGGCGTAAAATGAATCAAAACAAATATACTTTCCTTTCCTGGCAACATTCTCTAAACAGTGTCTCTGGAGCTGTTGAAAACCCGTTACAGATTTCTGTGAATTGTCAGGGAACAAAATTGTAGATCTTTGGTGGTTCATGGAGATCTGCAGCCTAAAACAAATAAGGTGCAATGTGATGTTCTTAAATTTTAGGTAGAATGGAAACAGCAAGAGCAGCTCCTGGAGATACTGAACCACTTGCTGTGTTTACAAACATGATCAGTTTATTGAACTCGGTGGGTCTGTTTGGTCCTGCAGTTGGTCATGGCTCGAAGAGCTGCTGAAGAACAGCAGCTCCTCCAAATTCTGCTTAAAGGCCATGTGCTGAAGGGGGAACTAAGTGAAGATTTAGTTGAATATTTGCTCCTGAATTAGTTTCAAGAACTTATTTTGCAGTTGCAGTGAAGTAGGAGGTGTCCCTGCCCATGGAAGGGGGGTTGGAATGAGATGATCTTTAAGGTCCTTTCCAGCCCAAACCATTCCATGATTCTATGATGAAGTTCCCAACACCTGAAGACACACAAAAAAATTACCCTTCTGGATGCTTTGTGCTTCACCTGGATGTTCATGTGCATAAAGGCTTGGCAAGATCAGCAGTTAACCTGAATGCACTCTCAGCCTCCCTAAAGCCTTTAGGGCTTCTAACCCTCCTTCCCTCCCTAAAAAAACGAAGCCCACAAAAACAACAACAACAACCCTGCAGCTGATTTGGGGTTTCTTGTAAATGAATTAATCATTCCCATGGCAGCAAGCAATGCAGTGGGGCAGGATTAGCACTGGAGCACTTCAGAGCAGACCCAGCTAAAGCTTTCTGTGTTAATAAAAGTCAAACTTCCTGCGTCTGACCCGAGAATAAAGAGATTCTTCGAAGCTGCTGCGCAGCCTTTCCCTCTCGAGGCTGGGGCAGGAGCTTTTGGCACAGGGAGCAGCTGCCAGGCCAGCTAGTCAGGAAGAACCACTCCATGGAATGCTCCAAGGTATGCTGTTGTGTTCCAGGGATGGTGTTTCTCAGGCAGATGAGAGATTGTGCTGGCAGGGAGAAGTTTTTTCTTCCGAGGCGAACGCAGGCAAATAACACCTCGAGAATGCTCCAGACCTGCTGGAGGCAGCCTGGGCAGGAAGGGGGTAAGTTTGGGGAATAACAGCTCAGGGACTCTGCTGTCACAGCCTGCTCTGTGGAGGAGATTGTACAGGGAGGAGGCCACTGAGAGAAGAAATCAGATGTAAGGGATGTTGCTGTCTTGGAAGAGGTTGCAGGTTGAGGATGCTTTTCTAACTGGGTGTGTTTGACACTGGTTTATTTTTATTTTTAACTTGGAGCAGTGCAGCAGAGTGGGGCAATTCCCAGTCCAAGGAGAATCTGTTGCATTCAGTTAAAGAGTAATATCTTATTTTGGTGAATTGACTTGTTCACAGATGTTACAGGGCAGTACAGAATGGCAGTGTGAGCACAATAATTTATTTGCTTTCTTTTCAAAGGATGACATGATTGAATGCTCGTGTTGTTTGCAGGCAGGAGTTTGAACACAGGTTGATGTAGGGAGCCCAGGGTGAACTTTACAGTAAAAATCTTATATCTGTTAAGCAACCAAAGGTCTAAGAGAGATGACATCTGTAGGATTATTGTCAGCTATGTGCTACTGGTATTCTCAGTTCAGTATAACTAAGATAATTCACTGCAAAAAACTTGATGATGTTTATTTCTCATTTAAGAAATTAGCATTAGTTCTCTTTAAACTATATGGATAAGCTGTCTTTAACAAGTGTTACCTTTTCCCCCTTCCTTGGGGGGATATAGATTGGTCAAATTATTGTTATTATTTAAAAAAATGTCTTCTGTGGGACTTATTAGCCTTTGTGTTAGAACTGCAGTCAGGGTTTCTTGGGCAGTAGCCAGTGCAGGAAATTATTTGGTAGTGATGATTGCAGATTTGTTTTTCATCTTTGCACTTGGTTTGTCTCAAAAACTCAAATATACCATCTTGTCTTGCTCATCAAATTGTGGTAATAACTTTTGCTCAGTATTTCTGAGGATACTTCAGGGAGCAAAATATTTTTTCCTCATTAGAATGGGTTTGAGCTGTTGTTCAGCATCCAGACACTCCTAAAATATGAAGGATTCAGCAAGCATGCATGAAGGCTGTGGATTTTATAGAAATTGTAAGAAGAGAAGGTGAAATGTGCCATAGCTACATAATATATATACATAAATGTATTCCTGCAGTGCCTCATCAATTTTGTGCAACTAATGGGAGAGGCTGATTTAGCTCCAGGAGTTACTTCCCTGAAATACTGTCTGTCTTGAACTAAACCTTTTGAAGGCTTTTTGAAGGAGCTGATTCCCATTTTTCCACTCTAATATTGGGTAGAATGCAAAAAAAAATACATAAAAAGAAGAACTTCACTTTGCACATATTATCATCCGGTAACAGAAGTTCAGAGAATTGCCAAAACCCTCTGATTTTGCTAGTTTAACTTAAAAGAAAATCCCCTTCTTAAAGAGCAGGTTCACTGTGAGCAACCTGGCTTTCCTTTGCTCAGATTCTCCTAAATTCTTGTGTGCTGGAAAGTTTTGGCTGAATCCTACTGGTGAGATATTCTGGGAGAGAAGAGGAGGAGAATGAAATTGGAGAGGAAATAGGAAGGGGGAGAATATTGGTAGTAAAATGTAAGAGGAAGTTTTTGTGTCACTCTTTGCTGGTGCTTTCGAGAGAGTGGTGGGTGTTGAACAAGTCCAGTTTTGGGAGCCCTGTGTCTGAGACCTCCTTATTTTTCCTGTTGGAAAGGCAAAGCCTCTCAAACCCAGGTGCTTTGAGCTGTTTCCACCAACAGAGGATTATCAAATTTCTGATCTCTTTTTTGAAAATCCCACCTCTTGGCTCTTTAATTCGCCTCTGCTGGGAGGGGAGAGAAGGGAGTGTGTGAGGTTAACATGCCTGAAATAGTTTTGTGAACTCAAAGGGAACGTCAGGAGATTCACACCCTCTGAGCAGCTCCAGCATCTGTAACACCCAGCTCGGTGTCCTTGGTGAGGACACCCCACTCTGTGCACAGTGGGTTTCCCATGGTGGGTGGAATCTCATGACACCAAACTCCTGGTATCAAGTTTTCCTTGAGGTATTCTCACATTCCTGAATGTGGCTGGAGCTTGGAGAGACTGGGGAAGAAGAAACCTGGCACTGTTTGTTTTGTGACAGTGCCAGTTCAGTTACTTGCCTTGTGCAGGGTTGGATTTTTTAATCTTGGTTAATGATGGAGCATTCCTTTTTTTTCTTTTTTTTTCCCCCATTCTTAACATAATAAATAGAGATGTCTCTGTGTTGCTATAGTGGTATCTGAGAAATCTAGGCTTTGTTCCAGGCTCCTGAAATTAATTTGAGCAAATCCATTTATGTCTCTCTGTGTCTCATTCCGCTCTCTGTAAATTGGGGATGATTAAAGCTCTGAACTCTTGGAGGAATCTTAAAGATTTCTGTGTAGAATGTGGCACATGTAGGTTCTACAAGTTTGAAGAGCTTGGAAAAAAAACCAAAAACCCAACAAGATAAAACTAACAGAATATGTGAAGGTAAATCATATTCCCTGTTCCTCTGTCACTATTTGCTGTTTTATTTCATTGAGTTCAAGCCTTAACTTTAAGTTCCTCTTAACAGTGGAAGAAAATACAGCACCAGGACAAGACTCACAAAAATTGGCATTAAGGGTTGCATCCAGATTTGCTCCCAAAAGAAGGGAAGCCACTAAATTATCCTCCAATCCCTGCTGGAGTTTAGCTGGAATCTTCTCCGTGCTCTTGCGAACGGGCTGATGGTGTCGGCAGGATTTGTTCTCTCCCGCATTTGGAATCAGCCTTTTTTTTTTGGTTTTTGGCAGGGAAATGCAAATGGCTCAGCTCTGCAGAGGTGACATCTCTGCTCTCCTTTCCCCCTCAGGTTGAGTAGCTCCACGGAGCAAAGCACCTCATCCCGGCTCATCCGGAAGCACAAACGCAGGAGGAGGAAACAAAGGATGCGGCAGATCGACAGGGTAAGGTTGGCCCCAGCCTTCTCCCAGGAGGTGAACCGTGATTCCTGAGCTTAGCTCTTGGCTCAGGAAGGGATCCAGAACAGGTCTGTGCCTGCTGAATTCTTTGGAAAGGCTCCCTTTGGCTCCAGTCTGGATAAATCTCTACTTTTGAAGTTCTGCAGCACCAGAGTCGAGTTTTTCTCCGCTCCTTTTCTTCCTTTTGCTGTTCAGTGATCCCATTTCTTGTCTTTTCCGAGACCAGTCCCTGCAGGAGAAGGTTCATTATGCTACTGGCTGATGTGAGAAGGGGCGTCAGATGCCTGGTGTATAAATCACTGAGACCTGCATTGTTCCTGAAGGAGAAATCTAAATTTATAGGAAATCTCCACTCTTCTCTCTTGCCCTTTCCCAGTGCTGTGGCAGCAGGATGAGGATGGCCTAAATGACAGAATCTTGGAGGAACTGTTCTGTTCTCCCATAAATACCAGTCTTCACGCATTAAAGAATGAGCTCACATACATTTTATCCCAACAACTGGGGTAGTGTTTGAGCAGGTCTTTGATAAGCACATTCGTATTTAATTTTGGAGGCAGGGGAGTGTCTCTCCTCTCACTTCCTGGCAGATCGTGTTGTTCACCCCTCTCTTCAGGGAGGAGCTGTGGATGCAATAATTCACACTGCAGTGGGCACTTTAGGGTTTAAATGTTTGCCTGTCAGTCACAGGCAGGAAGCAGAAAGGATTCAAGGTGAAGTTCAGCTGAGAAACCTCAAAATAAAACGTGCTCTGTGTGTTTTGGGAACAGATCTTTGGGGAAGGTGCAGACTGTGTTCAGATTTCTTTCCCTTACAGATTCCCTTACAGTAGCTTCTGGATGCCTTCCAAATGGAAACCTGTTAATCAAATCCTGATGAGTTAATCCTCAGTAGTTCTTTTTATTGTCTTAGTCTGTGCCATTTAAAACCTTGAGAATTCTCTGTTGTATTTTGCAGTCGTCTTCGTTCAGCAGCATCACCGATTCCACCATGTCCCTAAATATCATCACTGTCACACTCAACATGGGTAAGAGGATAAACCCCGTTTATTGTGATGAATTTGAGATGTATTTTGTGGTGGTGGGGTAGCCTTTGGAGCCAGGAGAAAGTTCCTTGGTTTGAAAGGATGCCAGGTGGATTAAAGGGACTGGCAGCTGAGAGTTGCTCCTGTGTTGACTGTGCCCAGATTCCTAGTCCAGAGCTGGATAGTTCTGAGCCATTTGCACGAGCAAAGCAGTGTTCTTTCCAGGGAAAGGGCTGGAACTCCAGGATATGGAGTTACTGGTGAGGTGTAGGGATGGTGAGGGGTCAGACATTGTCAGAAGCAAGGGTAGAAGAGGACTGGAGGTTTGTGTTTCTGCTGTTCCTGCGTTTCATTGTTTAACCAGACAGAAATGTGCAGGGCTGCCAAGTAGCTCAGCAGCTTTCAGTGGCACCAAACCCTTCCTGCCACTCCAGTGTGTGGAACAAACATTGCTCAATGCTGATGGGGTGCCCAATTTCGAGGTGTAGACGTGTCCTTTCAGTGTTGGTTCTCTTGCTGTTTTTTTTTTAATGTAGCTTTTCATTATCCTGTACGAACAGATCATGTCTTTAGCAGTATTTCCCTGAAGGGGCCAGGCAGTCACTGGCCACTAGGGCAACCTGAGATCATTGTAAGCCAAACCTGGCCCAGCTGATCTGTTGAGAGAGCTGATTTTTGGAGGCTGAAGTAGCCTGGTCTTAACTCTTTGCTGTCATTCCAATCACTCTGTTTGCTTTTTTCCCTCCCTGCCCCCCACTTTCTATCCCAACAGAAAAGTATAATTTCCTGGGAATCAGCATTGTGGGGCAGAGCAATGACCGGGGTGATGGTGGCATCTACATCGGCTCCATAATGAAAGGAGGGGCGGTGGCAGCGGACGGACGGATCGAGCCAGGAGACATGCTCCTGCAGGTTGGTCCCAGAGCATCCCCAAATACCTGCTGCTGGCTTCCACAGGGCTGGCTCAGTTCAGGCATCCCACCAGGCCCATAGGGTCATAGTAATCACTTAACAGAATTTATTCACACTCAGAAAAATGTATCACAAAGACTGTTATCAGGCATTCTTTGTGAGATGCGCTCTAAGAAACAACATTTCTGCAGCTGCTCAAAGGAATGGCAACAGTTACAAGGCAAATAAATTGAGACACAAATAATTAAAATGTCTTTAAGTTTGCTGTCCCAGAGCATGACCTCTGCTTTGTGCACTGTTCCAGGTGAACGATGTCAATTTTGAGAACATGAGCAATGACGATGCAGTTCGGGTTCTACGGGAAATAGTCTCCAAACCAGGGTGAGCACATTGCAAAACCTCCTGCTATTTATCCTCCATGTGCAGTTACTGGAATGGGGCAAACCTCAGAGAAAGCAGCATTTTGATCTCCATTAGGAACCAGCATGACTGTTCCCAGCCCTGAACTTCTCAGTGTGCTGATGAATAGGTGAGACTGGTTTCAATGCACCAGCCAAAACCAACACAAATGAGGAGCTGTCTGGTTTCAGCAGCACTATTTCTTTACCTGATGAGCATTTTAGTATGTCAAGAGCTGATCATTCAACAGATTTCACCCACAGTGCTCATCACTTGTACAAAACCAGAAGCATCCTGATACTGGTTCATACAGGAAATATTTCAACGAGCATCTCAAAAACAATCTCAGAATGTGCTTGACAACTGTTGGACAGGAATAAGTTGGTTTCAAATAGTTCTTGTAGCTGTTCCAACTGTGCAGAAAAGTTAAGAGTCATCCTTACCTGTTTTCTCTCTTCCTAGACCCATCAGCCTAACAGTAGCCAAATGCTGGGACCCAACTCCCAGGAGTTATTTCACCATCCCCAGGGGTGAGTACACATTTAGGCTCTTTGCTGGGTTCCCGTGGAGCCCTCAAGGTCTAGAATATTTTCACCTATCCTCATGATCTTGACCTTTCAATTGATAGGAAGTTTGGAGGATAACCATGCAGAAGTGTTAGAAAGTCTCATTTTATCACATGTGCACTTCCTGGAATTTAAACCGATATTTTTAAAAATTTGAGGTGAACAACAAAGAGATACATATAATTAATATTGAAATATATATTAATATATAATAGGTAATATTAATAGAAGATTGGAATATATTTCTGTTAACAGATAATATTGAAATGATCTCATTTTACAGCTTGTGGCTCAATAAACTTTTCAGTAGCAATAAAAGATCTGTGCTCATGTGACAAGCACAGCTGCCTCCTGCTGGTGAGGGCTGAGCTTGTGATGGTGAGACCAGTTTGTTCCCAGTAAGGGCTGACCAGTTCATTCCCAGTCTGAAGATGAGGATGGCATTGCCCTTTGAAATTAATGCAATAGAAAATGATCTCGTTTTACAACTTGTGGCTTGCAGTAACTTGTGACTTAACAAGTTTTACAACTTGTGGCTTTTCACTAGCAATAGAAGATCTGTGCTCATGTGACAAGCACAGCTGGCTCCTGGTAGGGGCTGTGTTTGTGATGGTGAGACCAGTTTGTTCCCAGTCTGAAGATGAGGATGGCACTGTCCTCTGAAATTATTGCAGTAGAAAACGATCTTGTTTTAAAGATCTCATTTTAACGTTAAAACACAAGTTAAAACTTGTGGTTTAATAACACAGCTGCCTCCTGCTGGTAAGGCTGAGCTCATGATGATGAGCCCAGTTTGTTCCCAGTACAGGCTGAGCTCATGATGATGAGCCCAGTTTGTTCCCAGTAAGGGCTGAGCTCCTGACAGTGAGCCCAGTTCGTTCCCAGTAGGGGCTGAGCTCATGATGATGAGCCCAGTTTGTTCCCAGTAAGGGCTGAGCTCGTGATGGTGAGCCCAGTTTGTTCCCAGTAAGGGCTGAGTTCATGACGGTGAGCCCAGTTTGTCCCCGTCTGAAGCTGAGGATGGCACTGCCCTTTGACATGAACGCCCCAGCCTGATGCATACTGGGGGCGAAGCCCTCGGGAAAACCAGCCCGACCCAAAGCAGACCCCCTGGGACTGTGAAGGTGTTGGGACTTTGAAGGTGTTGGGACTGTGAAGGTGTTGGGACTGTGAAGGTGTTGGGGCTGTGAAGGTGTTGGGGCTGTGAAGGTGTTGGGGCTGTGAAGGTGTTGGGACTGTGAAGGTGTTGGGACTGTGAAGGTGTTGGGGCTGTGAAGGTGTTGGGGCTGTGAAGGTGTTGGGGCTGTGAAGGTGTTGGGGCTGTGAAAGGTGTTGGGGGCTGTTGAAGGTGTTGGTGTCCTCGGGTGTGACCTCCTCCTGTCTCTCTCCCCGTGTTCCCGAGCTGAGCCGGTGCGGGCCGATCGACCCAGCGGCCATGGATCTCTCATTACCAAACGGCCATGACGGGAGCGTACCCCACGTTACGGTAATGAGCCCCTCCATGGAGCATCACCACAATCTACAGCTCCTACAACTAACTAAGCTCAATTCCACAGTCCCCGGAAGTAAGTCACCCTGAGGCCAGCCCAGGGCAGGAGGGGTGCCCGGGGCCCTGCGGGCCCAACCCCGCCCCGCCACGAGCACGATGAGAGCGGCAGCCACCACACCACACCTAGCCCCTAATGCTTGCCTTGCACTTGGGGTTCCTAGTGGGGAGCAGAAAAACCTTTTTTTTTGATTTTTTTTTTTTTCCTTTAAAGGTTAACACAGTGTTCGGTCAGGGTTCACCCTCAGGAAGGAGTAGCTCGTGGTCCCATTTTGAAAGGTCCCCATTTTAAAGATCCAAGTCGGGTCTCCGGCTTCGCCCCCTCAGGGGAGTGGGAGAGCTCCCTCCTTGAATTTGGCTGTTTTTCAATAAATTTAAATAACTTTAATAAATTTAACTATCTTTAATAAATTGAAATATCTTTAATAAATTTCAATGTCTTTAATAAATTTAACTATCTTTAATAAATTGAAATATCTTTAATAAATTTCAATGTCTTTAATAAATTGAAATATCTTTAATAAATTGAAGTATCTTTAATAAATTTAAATATATTTAATAAATTTAAATAACTTTAATAAATTTAAATACCTTTAATAAATTGCAATAACTTCGATAAATTGAAGTAATTTTGATAAATTGAAATATCTTTGATAAATTGCAATAACTTTAATAAATTTAAATATCTTTAATAAATTGAAATAACTTTGATGAATTGCAATAACTTTAATAAATTTAAATATCTTTAATAAATTGCAATATCTTTGATAAATTGAAATATCTTTGATAAATTGAAATTACTTTATTAAATTGAAATCACTTCAATAAATTTAATCATTTACTAAGGTTTTAAATAAATTTAAATAAGTTCCTTCAGATAGATGTCACTGGTTAATAACGTTAGTAGTGTACCATTTAGGAAACCTTTCCCTCATGTTCCCATGGCCTTGTTTTATACTTTTAGAATGTATTGAACAAGGAAAAAACAAGTTTAATGTCCCATGTGAAATTATTATGGTTAGAACTCAACTTTCTTTCCTGGTTTGTCTGTGGCAGTCTCTAAACTAAGTCATATCCACGTGACCAAGAAACTGCCATGGTGCCTTATCTTGGAAATATTTGTTTAGGGAATGTTGACTCCTCCTTTCTTTTGCTCAAAACCACACTTTGAGGATTTTGAAGACCAATGTTGGCATTGGTTATAAAATCTCTCAGGTTTTATAGGCTCATATTTCCTGGAATTACACCTCACCTTGCAATAAAAGGGAAGGGGTTTTTTGGAGGTGTGGTAGCTCAGTGCCTTTAGATCTCAGGCAGCAGCACTGAGGGGAAATACATCTGCAGCAGAAAGCAAGTGAACCCCTTCCCTGGTGGCTGCTTTGTCCTGAGCTGTGTTTTCAGCCTTACAGGTACTACAGATTGCTGGAATCAAATGTATCTGCTGGTTGCTGTCAAACAAGAGTCTGTGCTCAGCATTCCTCTTGATCCGTGTATTCTGTGCCTCGATTATGGTGCTGTGATTGGGGAGTGGGGAACAGCCACCCTCTCAATCATACGTTGAAAATAAAGGTATTTGGGAGCAGAACCACATTCCTGGAGACAGCTTCTCATTTCTGTGCCAGTGACTTCCAGTATTTCCTTTCTGGAGTGCAAGAAAACGTGGAGTACCCCTGAGCTTTATTGTGGCCCTTCTGCTCTCCAACCTTCCCTCAGCCCAGCCCTGTGACCTGCCCCAAACAGGGCAGCAGCACCTCAGGGCCCCAGGCAAAAGAGCACCTCTGTGAACACCCCACAGTTCACTGAGTTCTCTCCAAAGTTGGGAGCATTCTAGATGCCTCTTAGAATTTTCCTTATTTGTCCAGCAACTTAGAACTTAGAAAAAACACTGATGACCATTTGGCCAGTGTTGTTCTTTATGTGCAGGTCTCCAAGAAAATACAATTTATTGCTCCCCACATACTTTACTGAAATGTTAGTTTGTTGGGTTTTGATTTTTTTTTCCCCAAATGAACATGTTGCTTTTTGCCACTAACCAAACTAACTTAAAGCAAAAGCAAAATCTGAGTGTTTATTCAGAGTTTGTAAGTATTGAAGCTGCATGCATAGCTGCTCTGAGGTATTTTCATGCCTATTGGCAGTGCATGTATGGAAAGAAGCATTTTCAGTTTTCATTGTTTCACGCTTGCTGTACCTTCTGTCAAAATTCTGGGTGGCTGGAAAAGGACAAAATTGGTTCCCTGGTGCTTTTGAAAGGTGGGTGATATGGGGAGAAGGGAGGGGAGAGGAGGGTTTCTGAGTTCCTGCTGGAGAAGGGTCTGGACTGCAAACACAGACACGTCCAACGTGAATTTTCTGGGGCTGGGAGATGGGACAGGAAGGAGGACTGGGTGCTGTATCCAAAATTAGTTGTCTTATGTATGGCAGGATAAGTGAGTTCTGCACAGAACACAGGGAAGCTGGTGGATTCCTGGACCCAGATTCACCCTCTGGGCAGGCAAGGGGTTTCTAAAGGAATTTGATTCCTACAGTGGGAACCTCAGTTCAGCAGGGTCAGTGTCAGCCCTGTTATTCTGATTTTACTATAAAAATCAATCAGGACAGTGTGAAGCCTCTGAGGATCCAGCTCTGCCCTTGGGAGTGTGAAATGGGAATGGAGCAGTGATGGTTGTGGAGGCATTTGGGAGCTTTTTTTTAAAAGTGTTCTACAGGAAAGATGCAGGGCAAAATAGTTCTGGGTGGAGAGACTTGTTCACTTGTAAGGGTCCAACACCGGGATCCTGGGAATTGTTTTTTTGAAGGAAACCACTTGCCTTTCTCCTGATGATGGAGGATTTCTTTTCTGGTTTCGGTTCTCCCCGAGAATGCTGATGTCCAAGTCTTAAAAAAGGAAAAAAAAGAGGATATTGATTGAGGCAGGGTTGTCCTCCTCCTCCATGCAGATGGGTTATTTCTGAGAGTTAACCCAGAAGTTAAAGAACAAGTGAAAAAACCTTGTCCCACAGAGTTCTGCACTGATCCCTTGGGTGGGAAGGGCTGTTCATGGCAAAGTGAAATGGAAGGGGATGGTCACAGGACTCCCTGGGTTTCCTTTCCTGCCAATCAGTGTGGATTCCGGAGCTGATTTCCCTGGAATGGGAAATCCAGGCACGTGGGGGCTCAGCATTTCAGTGACTAAACTGGTGGCACAGAGCACAAAACCTGAAGAATTGGTACAAATGCTGTAATTTATGCCACGGATGAGGGTGCATTTGGGAACCTTTGTGTCTTTTTTTGTTTTTTTTTTTTGCATCTGTTGGTAAAACTGTGTCTTTGTTTCATCCAAATGGGGAGCTGAGAAGGACTTTTCAGATTCATTTCATTTCAAAGCAGCCTGTAACCTCTCTTCCTTTTAGAATTAGAAGAATCTCCCTTAACTGTGAAGAGTGACATGGCTACTATTGTCAAGGTTATGCAGCTCCCAGACTCAGGCCTTGAAATTCGGGACAGGATGTGGTTAAAAATCACCATCTCCAATGCAGTGATAGGTAAGCAGATCCCAGGAATGCTGAGGGGAAAAAAACCCGGTGACTTTATGAAAATAAATTCAAGAAACTACCTTTATGTGAACTTTTTATTTTTCTGCCTATGACCTCTTAAATTCCCTTGACTTGCTATTTATGAGCAGCTCTGAGTGTGACAGGAAATAATTAATAATTCTTGTTTTGAGCCTGGACAGCCAAAACTGCTGCACGTTTCTCATGCCTACACAGAGCCTGGTTCTTAATCCTTGGTTTTATATCTCAGGTGCTCAGGTGGCTCTAGCAATCTGCCCAAGCTCAGCAGAGCAACAGTCCCTGGAATTCCAATTCCAGCCTTAAATAAAGCATCTTAATTAATTTTAAAATTACCACAGCTAGTCTCTACCTGTGGCCTGAGCTGTGCTAACGTTTAGTCAGTCTAGGCTGCAGTTACTTTTTGCTGAGAAAGGCATTGGAACACAGGTCTTTAGACAACCTGACATCTGCCTCTTGAGGAGGATGACTCTCCCAGTCACTTCTTGTCTGGAAATGCCGTGTAATTTCCATGAAAGAGTTGCACAATGTGTATAAATGAGTTTTTCTGTGTGTGTATTTGGTGTCGCCGTTCACGTGGTGGATCACTTTGGCTCAGATGATCCCAGGTCTCCTCTCCCTGTTGTCATTTCAGGAGCAGATGTGGTTGACTGGCTTTACACACACGTGGAAGGCTTCAAAGACCGGCGGGAGGCGAGGAAATACGCCAGCAGCATGTTAAAACACGGCTACCTCAGGCACACTGTGAACAAAATCACCTTCTCAGAGCAGTGCTACTACGTCTTTGGAGACCTCTGTGGCAGTAAGTTCCCCTCTGGGAAGGGCAGAGCTGTGTGTGTGTGTCTCTCGTGCTCACAGGATGCACAGAGGTGTGTCCTCAACTTCCTTTCCATGGAGGGTGGCAGAGCACTGGAGCAGCTGCCCAGGGAGGGTGTGGAGTTGACATGGTCAGAGATTGGACTGGATGATCTCTGAGGTCTTTTCCAACCTGGCCGATTCTGTGATTCTGAGTCTCCCTCTCTGGAGACATTCCAGACCCAGCTGGATGTGTTCCCGTGTCGCCTGCTCCAGGTGACCCTGCCCTGGGCAGATGATCTGCAACCCTTCCAGACCTGGCTGTTCTGGGATTCTGTGAGTCCTGGGAGTTTCACAAGTGGGTGTTCCAGAACAGGTCATTCATATTCTGTGGGACAAGCGGTCGATGCTTCCTGTTAGACCAGGAATTAGAGCACTTGGAAGAGAAGGGTGAACTCCTCAAGTAATGGCATTGCACTGAAGCTTAGGCAGGCAGGATTTACTTCTGGTGATGCCACAGACCTGCCACTCCATTTCCAAGCTGTAAAATTCTCCCCTGCCAGGTGAGAGCAGAGTCTTCACCCTTTCTCTCTTTTCCAGACCTGGCTGCACTGAACCTCAACAACGGTTCCAGCGGCGCCTCGGATCAGGACACCCTCGCTCCGCTCCCACATCCTGCTGCTCCCTGGCCATTAGGCCAAGGATACCCCTACCAGTATCCTCTGCCCCCTCCGTGTTTTCCACCAGCATACCAAGACCCAGGCTTTAGCTATGGCAGTGGCAGTGCAGGGAGCCAGCAAAGTGAAGGTAGGCTGGTTAATCCGGGTTTTATTTCCGTGCCTGTCATTATCCCGATCCATTTGCTTGCGTTCCTTCGTTCTGTCTGTGCCTGTCCTGTGGTTTTGTTTGCTACCTGCATGGGTTTTGTGTGTCTGTGGTGGAGTGGGCTTTCAGCTCTGTATGGGAACTGCCAGCCTTGTTTTATCCCAGTCAGGAATTGCCAGTGCTGGGGCTGATAGTGCTGGAAATGAGGCCATTTCTTTGTGATGGAACAGGGATTAGAACAAGGTGCTCTTGGCTTTCACTTCAGTACTCAGCACAAAAGGAAAATCACATTCTTGGCTTGTGTGAGACACACAAGAGGGAGGTGGCCAGCCAGAGGTTTACAGGGCTGAAACACTGCTCACAGGGAGGAGAGTCCCTTCTGTCATATGTGACAGGGGAAAAAAGAGAATACTGCATGGATTAAAGACCTGACCTCCTCCTTTCCTGACCTAGCATAATTTTGTGGTTCATCCTTAACCTTAGTAAACAAAAATTACATATTTTCCACTGTAAAGATAGTATTTTTTGATTTCTTTTTTTAAAAAAAAATCACTTCCAGAGTGAGTTTTGCTTTTGGAAACGCTGCCAGTAAAGAAAGGGCGAGGTTTCTCTGTGTTTTTACAGTGAACATCCAGTAACTGGGATGTAACTTATCCCTGTTTGCCACAACCAGTTAGATCTTACAAAAACTGCACAAATAATTTCGTAGCAGGAGCTTGCTCACAAGATTTGAGCACCGTGGCTTCTCAGAATAAGAATTTCTGCTGTGAGGAAGCTCACAGTGGCATCCAGAGGTTTTAGAACTGACTGCACTGCAAAGAATGTTGGGGATGCTTTTTGGCAGCTGATTCTGTGGGCAGCAGGAATTTGTTCTGCTGCTGGAATAGGAAAGGAATGGTGTTTTATCCATGCTGTGTCCCCTGGCTATAGAGAGCCTCACAGAAGGTGCCAAGGTGTTTGATTTTTGAAAGGTTTCGACGCTTTTTCCTTGTTCTTCTTTTGGAAACTACACTTCTTGTGTTGTTTCTTGGCTTGTAACTGTTATTCCCTTGTTTTGTCCTGAGCAAGCATTAGACTGAAGGATTCCTAGAGGAATGGCTGACTCTAGGGGATTGGTAAGCTTCAAATGCCTCCATAACAAATCCACAGCATGACCATTTAGACTCTCGTGACCCAAATGTTTAGCTGTATTTTTTTATTATTTTTATTATTATTATTATTATTATTTTGATTTTTATTTTCTTTTTGATTGTCTTGGACGCTCGACCTGTCTCAGTGCACGGCAGTGCAGTAGTGTGACATTGGCATATCAACCTGTGTGGCCCCTGTGTGACTGTGCTGCAGCAGCTCAGAGGGGGTGGCACCACGTCCCTCACTGTCAGGTGTCACCAGGCTCCCCACTGCTCCTCATAAAATAAGCAAATAGTCCCTGCTCCTGATTTATGTCACCCGTGTGGGTTGCATTTATCTGCCACTGCTCATTTACTTGGTGGCCAGATGTCTCAGGCAGGTGCTGAGAGTGCAGGGACGCAGGGCTGTGTTGGTCACTCCCAGGGTGGAATATTAGAGTTGGGTTTCTTGTGAACCCTCTCCTTTATCAGCAGGGTTACATCCTAACAATCAGCAAACAGCACTTCAGAGTCCCGGGCTCAGAACACTAGTAACTTAAAGCCCAGTGATTTTGTAGTGTGTGTTTTCCATCTCTGGCACTCTGCAGGGAATGTTACACACCAGGCCAGTCTGATTTCCCATCTCCTGTGTCAACAGGAGCAAGCAGAAGGTCACCTGTAGTTCACAATCATTCTGGTTCTTCCATTTCAGTGGCTCAGTTGGACTCAAAAGCTGGTCCCCTCTTCTGCTGGCTGGGGATCCTTTTTTGGAAATTTTTGCACTAAGGTGGCATGAACTTAATGAGATGGTGCTTGGGTTGATTTGTTGGGTTTTCTAAAAAAAATAATTCCCTTGGGACTGTGTCCTGACATCATCCCAGCCTATCTCTCATGGGAACAGAGCAAGACCTTCAACTTTCATCCAAAATCAGTTCTGAAGTTTAGTGACATTTGTATGTAGCAACAACTCAGCTGACAGTCCAGTGGCAATACTTTTTTTCTAAGCTGATTTAGTGGCCTCTTCTGGGAACATCCTGCACGTTACTGTAGAGCAGTTCAACAGGTAACTGTTGTGTAAAGAATTCTCCAACACCAGAACACTGTAGCGGTGAATTTGAAAAGAATCTCCCCACTGAAGCCAACAAAACCTCAGGGTGTGAGTGTGCCCAGTGAGACCAAGGATGACAGAGAAGGCAAAGGAGTTTCTTTTGGGAAAGGTAGAAGGTACCAAAGCAGAGGCAGTTACAGATTGAACCTCATTTGCTTGAGTCCAACCCCAAATCCTGCTCCTCCTCGGTGGGGCGGGTGGGTTCCAGCCAGGAGCTGTTCTTTAGCTGCTGCTTTCACTGTGCGAGCTCTGAGGTGTCTCCGTGTCCCCGTGCATGGCACAACCCTGTCAGCTTCGTCCCACTGCCCCTCATTGCCAAACCCCACGAGCCACCACCGGCACGCTCAGCCCTCGCCGTGGCCATCAGTCCTACGCGGATCCGCCGCGGGAGCCGGGAGCGGACGATGGCCTAACTGTGCTTTTCTCTGCTTTTTTCCCCCCACCTCGTGGGGTTGCAGGAAGCAAAAGCAGCGGCTCGAACCGGAGCACCAGCGAGAACAGCAGGCGAGCTGTGGGCAGGGAGAAGGACCGCAAGTCGGGGGGCAGTGGCAGCGAGTCGGAGCACACGGCGCGGAGCGGCGGCACCGCGCGCCGGGACCGGCCCGCCAGCCAGCTCAGCCACCGCAGCCACGGCTCCGCCGCCCACAGCGACAGAAGCCACCACAGCCACCACTCCTACGGGGGGCCCCCGGGGGTGCCCCCGCTCTACAGCCTCCCCAAGCTGGGCTCCAAAGTCTACGGGACCAGCGGCCCCCCCGGAGGGCCTCCCGTGCGGGAACTGAGCGCGGTCCCCCCGGAGCTCACCGGGAGCCGCCAGTCCTTCCAGAAGGCCATGGGCAACCCTTGTGAGTTCTTCGTAGACATCATGTGAGAGGAAGTGCCTTCAGACTCTGCCTGGGGAGAGGGGGGTGGGTTGGGTTTTTTTTTTTGGGGTGGTTTGTTGTCGAACACTTAATGGAAGAGACTTGGCTGGTCTTGCATGTCACACCTTCCTGTTTGCAAAGTGTGTTGCAGTAAAAAAAGAAAAAAAAAAAATCAAGAAAACAGAGCGAAAAATACAAAAAAAAAAAAAATTCCCTCCGCAAAAATGAACAAAAAAAAAAGAAATCTCCTGGGATTGTTAAATATCAGCAAACCGATGGCATCTTTTCTTTATCTTTTTTTTCCCTTCCCCCTCCTCTTGTTTTGGATTGTGAATGGCTGGGGTATATTCACATCTTAATGAGCTTTGGTCATTGTGGCACCTACTTCAGTGCAACTGGTGTATCTTTTTGGCTGATTCAAGGACTCTTATTTCACACGACTTCTAAATTCCCGATATTGCATAGGAGCACTTTTATTTTTCCCTGCTTTTTTTTTTTTTTCTCTTACAAGGAAAACAAACGACCCCTTGGCTGGTATCTGTGATACTGCCTTGGAATGCTGTTTCTTGGATGCATCCATAGCACTGAGCAGACATTGCACCCACAAGTGTACAGACAGCACGTGCTTGGAAAGGAGCAGGATCGACCCAAGTGGAAAACAAAGTTGTGGCTACCTTCTGCTGACTAGGGAGTATAAATCAACCTTTCTTTCTTTTTTTTTCTTTTTTTTTCTTTTTGTTGGTTTTTTTGGATATTATTCTATCAAGGGAGTGCTGGAGTCTTGCTACTGTATGTGCTCATTGTGCAGAACTTGTCAAGTTGTTTCCTTCAGTACCACAATAGTGACTTTGTAGCTGCAGTTGGTTCCTGGGCATTCCAGTCCCACCCCTGCTGACAGATGTGGCTGTTCCTGCTGGATGTGCACTTGCTTGGAAAAGTTATTTCCACAGAAATAGGACAGCTGCTGCCATGCAGTTCTGTTAGTGTAGCTGCAGCTTTTCCCTTTCCAAGGGGATATTCATCCCATTCCAGCTAAATCCTGGCTCCTGCTGGGATGTGGCTCTTCACTTTGATTTCATTTTGATACCTGTTGTTCTGTCCTTCGTTTTGGAGCAGTATCTTTCTCTTTTTGTTGTAATGGAAACCTGGAGCTGTCTAATCCCACTTGCAGTCCCAGGAGAATGTTTCTGAGCACAGACAGGGGCTGGCTGTTGGCAGAGAGGTGTGAGGGTGTTTTGAGAGCAGATCCCAAATGGTACAGCGAACAAATCCTTACACCTGACACCGAGTGGGACCCTCTCTGCTGAGGAGCCCTGACTGAAGCAACTGCTGTTGTACATCCCCAAGGTTTCATTTCTGTGTGGTTCCTGCTCTGAGGCTGTGGACACTTGATAAAGCAGGTTCAGGAGCCTTCAGTGGTGTGTAAGAAGCTTTTTTTTAAGGTGTCAGAAGGAGGGTATGGTGAGAGCACACCCACGCTCTGTCACGGTGCCTCATTTGATGGGACACACGTGGGGAGCTGCAGCCACTTAGTGGCATTTGGCCACGGGGCCATGCCTCAGTTAAATCCTCCTTTCTGAGGTGCCTGCTGCTGGCAGGTTTTAGGACAGGTGCTTTAAGATCAGTCTTGACTGTATATAAGCATTTTTTTCACTGGTAAGAAGCTGCTCTTTGGTTCGTCCCGTGCTCTGTGGGAAGCGTGAACGCCCGAGATGAAGGCCAAAAGAGAACATCTTTCTCAGGATGCACACACAGTTCCATGTCCATTTGTCACCCCGAAAAACGACTCTTCAGACATTTTGGGTGTTGTTCATCCTGATAGATTTTTCACTTCTTTCCCTGTTGCAGGTCTGTGTGCAAACACATCCCTTTGTCAGAGCCAGAGTAACGATTCCAGCCAAAGCTCCAAACGTCTGTGTTAACTGGAGACTCCAGTCTCTCCTTCAAAAGGGAACCAGGCATTTGGGAAACTCTGTGTCACTCAGACTAGGTACTCCCCTTACTGGCCTTCTAAACTAGTTTTCTTTACAAAAACCTCCCAAAAAGCTGCCTAATGTCTCTGAAAGCAGTGCTTTCATCATCATCCATCCCATGGGCTGGCATGGATTGCCACGTGGCTGATGGCTTCTCCAAAAGAGTGGCACTACCTAGAGCTTGACTGTGCAAACAGTACCTTTCTTTTCCTTTCCTCCTCCCAGTTCCACAGCAAAGATGCTTACCCTAACCTGGTAACCTATTCTGAAAGATTGACATTGAAAGCAATGAAGTAAATCAGGGTAAAATAATGGTGTAATTCTGCTATGTCTCCAGGAGACACTGTTAAGGAGTCTGTGACTTTACTGACAATCACTAGTGGTTCTACTTTTAAATTAATTTAAAACTTTTCTGGTCTCTTATATATATTGATTTTTCTGGCCCGCTCTGTCTTAAGGCAGAACTTGGAGGGCTGGAGGAAAAGACTCTCATTTAAATATTTCCAAAAGGGATTAAAGCTGGGGGCTGAGCTTTCACCCGTGGAAGAAACGTGTTTTATTTTGTTATGTCTTTCCAAGAGTTGCAGTTTACACACCTGCTGGGTTGTTTTTTGTTTGTTTTTATTTTTTTTTTGTTTGTTTTTTTGGTCTTGTTGTTAATGCTGTTGGCAGAAACTGTTCTGTGTCTTGCTGGTCTTTGCTGCTATGTTGAAATGACTGTGTTATAAACTTGTGTGTTCGTGGGTCACTCTGGAATGAGGCTGCAAATCCATAACCCAGGTGTGGGAAGGCATTAGTCTGCTGAGGAATTCAGGCTGAAGCAGCTTCACCCACAACAGGCATCCACTGCTCTGGGTGTGCTGGGTGCTGGTCCTTGAGGAACCTGCTGTTTGCAGGGAGAGCAGGAGGGTGGAGATGCCCCTGTGTGGACAGTGCAATACGTGATGGCCACTGTGTGTAAAACAAACCCCTGATCCCCCCCGTAGTGTCCAGTGGAGAGGGTGGAGTGAGTGGAAGGTCAGGCCTGAATCTTTGCTAGATCCCAATTTTCACAAGAGACAGGAGATTTCCCAGATCCCATCCTTGGCTTTCAGTGCATGCTCATGTGTCTTTCCACCAAGGGGGTCCTTGGGACCTGCCTGTGCCAGTGTCTCCTGTTGGGCACAGCATTCCCTGCTGTGCCAGGTGGAAGGAAGTTTGCAGGCTGGAGTGCTGCAGATCCATCTGTTTTCTCTCACCAGGGCCTCAAATTTATCCCTGATTTCATGTCAGTGACTGAGCTCCAACTCCAGCGAGGGGTTTGCTGTGCAGGGCACTGAAACAACCTCAGTGGCTGACATTTTTATTCTGGAAGTGAGACCCTCGACTGAGCTTAAAGCTCACACATCCCTGCCAACAGATTTAACAGCAGGTTTGTCTGGAGGATCATGGAAAATGATGAGGAAACAGTTTGGGATGACATCTCCTCCCCAAAGGAGGCAGGATCTGTAGGGGGAGTGTATCCACCTGGTATATTAACTCTGAGGAGTTTTTGGCAAATAAGTCTTAAAAGCACTGCTATTGTCTTTTACCTCCTATTAATAAATCTCCTTTTTCCAAGGTAACAGTCCCCTGGACACTTTATCCAAAGGTTTATTGGATGGCAAGCAATGATGCACAGACATTGACTTTTGCTATTATTTTTGTTCTCTTCAAGTGGGCAGTCCCCTCCTGAGACTTGACAGCTCATGAGTTGATGTAATTGTTTTTGTTTTTTGCATTTAACTGGATTGTAATAAGATTGACTTAAAATTATTAATTCTAATCAGTGATTAGAAATACATGTAAAGAATTTTATGTACAGTAGAGGAACAAAGTTACATGATTTTAAATAATGAAAATCCAGACTGTCACCTATCCTAGAATTGGTTCTACTCAAAGAGTGACCTCTTATTAGCATGGACTGCACTGTTCCTGTTAAATGTCTATTGCATAATTGAATTCTTTTTTGTAGATATTGTATTAAAACCCAAGTGTCTGTATAGTTAATATATAGCTGCTTATGTGTAAATGCTATTTTAAACACTAAAAAGCTTTTAATTTTATGTGATAACCTCGGTGTACGTCTTCAGTTCTTTGCACTGTTGCATTTTATCTTTTAGTCAAGATTGATGAAATGCTGGTTGAATCTTCCTCTTATTTTTTTTCCCCCATGTCACACTGAAGTTTTGTCCTCTCAAGAAGATTCAGGAGGTGCTGGTAGGCAGGGGGGAGTTTTGTGAGGGCTTCAGAGAGCTGGAGGAAAAAAACCCTGTTCCCCAGACATGAGCTGGAACAAGTTGTCCTGCCTGCAGCCCCAGGACTTGAATGTGCTGCTAAAACCCATCAGTGTATTCAGCTGTTCCATGGGAATATTCCCCATTTCTGGACTCTCCAAGGTTGGATCATTAGGATACCACTTTACTCTCTGGTAAGCATTAAACCACGGGGTGTTTATTATGAATTACCAGGCTCCCTGCAGGGTCTGAGGGGTTCAGTTGCACTCAAATGATTTAAAAGCCTTTTCCATCCTAAATCATTCCACATACAAAGGGCAACCCCAGCTTGAGGAGGCAGATTCCCCCTTCCCAGCTGGCAGAGATCAGACAGCAAAGGGAGGGTCAAACATTGTTTAAATACCACAAATTTTAGCCAGCATTTCCCAGTGAGGTAAATATCAAATGATCAGAATTCAGGTGAATATTAAATCCTCCAAATTTAGGTGAATATGGAATGATCAGAATTTTGGATGTGCTCTTGCAGCCTTTCACTGCAGGGCCTGATGGGCCCCAGCTGACCCAGGGTGAGTTGTCTACAGGTGACTGGAGCTGACTGAAAAGTCTCATCAGCTGCTTTTCCCTCCCTCCCTCCCTCCCCTGAAAGAAAACTCAGCCTGTCATGGCTCTGGTTGTGATCAGAGTTGGCTTTCTGGCTGCTGCCAATAGAGGTAAATGGATTTTTTTTCCTTCTCTATTTCTGGAATGATGATGATCAAAAGCTACTTAAGGCTTCTCTGCTATGGAATCACAGCCCTGGAGCAAGGAATACTGAGAGGCTCAGGTGCAACAACATCCTCATGAAGACTTGCTGCAGGCTCCAGGAGCAAGGACTCCAGGCTTCAGGTCAGAGTTTTGGTATTTTTAATCACACTGAGGAGTATTTTTGTATGCAGGTGTTCACAAAAATCTAGGACAAGTAGCTTTGCAGTGCACCAGAAAGTTCTTTTTTTTTTTTTCTTTTTAAGAATGAAAATATTTCCTGGTTTAGATTAATTTGCCAGTTCTTTAATTGAGCTGAACTGATGAGTTAATTTGCAACAGCACCCAGTGAAGAGATGGAAAAACTTTAATATAGGGAATAAAAGGGCAGTAATGGAAAAACTTTAATGTAGGGAAAAAAGGAGTAATATAGTTGCTTGTTAAAGCAGGTGGGGAAGAGAAAAGATCTTGGTGATGTGACTTGGTACTGTTTGGCAGCAATGTGGAGTTTTTGGTGATCTTTGTGTGGTTTTTGGGGTGGAGGAACTTTGTGCCATGGCTTGGGGTGGTGTGATCTGCACACTGCTCATTTCCATGTGCCTGGGCCTGATTTCCATGTCCTTTGCAAACACATGTGAATGAAACACAAATGAGTGAGCTGCAATTTGAATGGGTAATGCTCTTTATATCCTGCACACAGCTGCTGTTACTTTTATTCCTCTGGTGTTGGATATATTTTAAAATTGTTCTAAGGCTTGGGAAAGGATTCATGGCTTTACCTCTGGAGCAGTTATTTAGTTAATTAGAAGGGGAAATCACCAGCAGTGTTTACAGAAAAGTGTTCTGGGTGAGGCTTCCTGCTCACATTGCCAGAGCTGAGAGAGAAATTCATATAAAATATCACTACTGGAGGTTGGCTGATTAACTGAACCTGCTTTTGGCTGCTTGTGGGGGATGGAACAGGCCATTCCAGAGAGGATGGATCTGCTCCTCTGGAGCATTTGGCTTTAGCTGGTTGAGCAGAGCCCTGTGCTTTCACAGCTGGTGGTTGTGCCCGGGGCCAGAGAGTGCTCTTAAACAGAATTATCTCATTAAAATACAGCCAGCTTTTACTGAGGAGCAGGTGACAATGGCTCTGGTTTATTGTTTGTTTGCTGAGTCCTCCTCTGGCTCCTCTTGGATGGAATTCTGGAAACAATCCACCGTGTTCATCTCGGGCTTGAACAAGATGATGTAGCATTTGGGGGCGTAGTTGGTCACCAGGATGCCCAGGCTGATGATCAGGATGGTGGCAATCTGAGAGACAGGCCTGAGGACTGTCCCCAGCGTGGCAAAGATGGCCACAAAGAAGATCCAGACGACGAAGTAGATGAGGATGGCAAAGGTGATGCCCCTGGCAAGGTTGTACTTCTTGCCCAGCGTTTGCACCATGAAGGTGCCCAGGAAGCACAGGAGGGCCAGGCAGCCATTGAGGCTGTGCAGGAGGGCATAGGCTGCCCAGGACTTGGTGCTGCACACCAGCAGCACCTCGGTGGGCAGGGATTTGTAGTCAGGGCCCAGGTAGGCAGGGCCCAGGTAGAGGTGGCAGAGGCAGAGCAAGCCCTGGACGAGCAGGCACAAGGCAACGAGGAGCCAGGACCTCCTGTGGGTCACCCAGCGCAGCAGGGAGGGGGCATAGCTGGGGAACTCTGTCAGCAGGGTGATCTCCAGGGTCTTGATGAAGAAGGTGGAGAAGCAGCCGTTGAGGCACAGGGCGTGGACCACCTCCTGCATGGCACAGTGGGTGTCACTGGGCTTCCCCACGTAGAGGCAGCAGCTGAGGCTCAGCAGCGCCAGGCACAGCAGGGCAAAGAGGCTCCTCTCGGCCCCAGCAGCCTGCACCAGGGGGGTCTGCAGGTTCCTCAGGAGGAGCAGAGCTGTCAGGCAGGTCAGGAGGATGGTGATGGACATCAGGACCAGCAGGGCGATGGTGAGGGGCTCGTCCCAGAAGAGGAACCTCTCTCTGCGCTCGTAGCACTGCGTGCTCTGGGGAGGGGCCCACTGCTGCTGCAGGCAGGGGGTGCAGGTGGAGCTGTCTGGGAAGGAGCAGTGAGGGCATGATGACCACCCAGCCCTTGAGGATGGATCACAGATGTGGGTTAGGATGTCCCTGCCTCCAAAGTGTCTTGGAACTCCAAAGCTTGTGACAGTTCACTCTGTTTTTTTTTTCCCCCACCCTTCTCCCCAAAGGACTCGCTTTTCTTAGCTCTTGTTTCCCTTCCCCAGAAAGCTTCCAAAAGATCCCAGAATTTCATCATATGCCTTTCTCTCCCACCTGTGACCCCAGAATTTCATCACAGCCCTCTCTCCTACCTCTTGAGGTAAAATACATACACGTTGTCCTCGTGCAATCCCTCTGGGCTGGGCAGAGGCAGGTCCCCAGGGAAGGTGTGTAGGGCAAGACTGAGCAAAGCACAGCAGAACAGGGAGGCAAATCCCCTGCACTGGCAGTGCTTCGTGGAGGAGGAGCTCACCACTGGTTGTTACCTCAACCAGCAGATAGACATAATACAGTTAAAGCCTTCAGATTTCTCAGACCTCACCTGGACTGTTCCAGAAGGTGTTTTCTGCACAGTCTGTGCAGTCATAGCAGCAGAGGTTGAATCCTTTTACCCTTCTGATTTGTCCTGGTTTGCAGTGCCTGAAGCACTCCGATGTGGGCGCCTGGCAAAGGGAGGAGTGAACATCAGCCAGGCACTTCCAGGAGAATTGTATCACCAAAGAAATCAGAAGGAATTGGCTGGGCCCTCTTTACCTTTTGATCTGGAGTGTGAAACTGGATCTGGGGCTCCTCGATGTGCAGGGACTCTTTATAGTCACCTACAGGCAGGTAGGTAAGGATGCCATTCTTCCAGGACCACAATATGAGCTTGTAGCCAGTGTTTGTGCTGTGGGACTGATCAAACCTGTAGCTCTGGCCGTTCACCTCGAACGGGAGAGCGTCCATGTAGTACAGCAGCTGAGGAGAGAATGGAAATTGGGGTTGGTACAGCTGATGTTTGGAGGATGGTAAGGCTGCAAGCAGGTTTCTGGCTGAAATCAGTTGTCCCTCAGCAAGGGCTCAGGTTGGCACTATCTGGCTGTGTTGTGATGAAAAGTGGCTGTTTGTCCCCCCCGGCCTTTACTCACCTGCCAGGATCTGATGGGCGTTTTGGGACAGGCTTTGGAGGTGCACCCCAGGGCTCTGTGCAGAGCATAGGCCACGCTGTACACAGCCATGTGCACAGGCTGCACCTGGGTGATGCTCAGCAGGAAGGAGATGTCCCCCAGGGAGATGTTGTCACACTCCTGGCACTGCAGGTCCAGCACGTTGGTGCTCATGAGCTGGTTGAGTTCTCTGGACTGCTGGCAAAATTCATCCTGCTGAACAGAGGTAAAGAGGTCAGCAACATACTTCTGGAAGCCAGGGACTGTGCCTGTTTTTGTCACAAAGCCTAAGACTGTCCCAATGCTCTGAATATTTGGGATGGAGGTAGGTAAGCCAGACAGCATCCAGGCTTGGCTGCCAATCCAGACTTTCTTGCTCAGTCCCATCTTGATGGCTTGTTCCATCAGGGCCTGGGCTGACAGAGTATAGGCAAAAAGGACAACGATGTTGACTTTGGTCCTATTAATTAAGTTAATGACCTCTTCCAGTTGTTTTTTGTCACTGGGCTCGGTCACGTCTGTAGGAATTATGCCCTCGAAGGCAATGCAGATGTTGTTACTTGCAGCTGTGCTTAAGAAGAGTTCCTGGGCTCCTTGGCCATACTCATCATCACTTGCAACAGTGGCAATCCAGTTCCACCCAAACCTGTTGAGGAGCTGGACCACAGCTTCCACCACGTTCTTGTCACCGGGGAGAGTGCGGTAGAAGGACGGGAACAGCTCGGAGTTGCTGAGCTTCTCACTGCTGGCTGCATAGCTCACCTGCAGGGTGGGAGGGACAGAGGGAGGCAAAGAGGGATGTCCAGGTCATTCTCCACCTTCTTTTCTTAGTGTTAGTGCCCTAAGGTTTCAAAAATGCTGGTCAGGATAGTGGGAAGAACTCATCCATCCTGGCTGCATTTACTGTCTCCTTCTACTGCCAGCCCTTATCATTAATGACAGTGATAATTAACTGCTTTCTACACAGGGTGACACCCCCAAAATTCAGTTATATCTTAGCTGAGGGCTAAATTTCCCCGACCATTAGAGCCCTCTGTTGTGGTAACTGAGTATTTAGTCACATTTTCTCGTGTGTAGTCAAGTATTTTAGTCAGTATTTTCATGAGATCCTCCCAGTTTACACTGGGAGCTCTGTTATTCCCAATTTACATGGATCACAGTGGTCTGAGTTGTCCCTGTTCTCTCTGGGTGTGGTTAAACACTGTAGTGTCTCCAGGAGGGAATTTGACTGACCCACCCAAGATCACTCAGGAAACCTGTGGCAAAGACAGGAACTGCACTTTAACAATCCATGTTCCCAAAGCATGGACAACGCTGTCGATCCAAACCCTTCCCCACCAGAAAGGAGGATTCCTGCTTCTCCAGAGAGGTTCTTTACCTGTGGGATGAAGAAGGTGCTGAACAGTTTGGCTGTCACCAGAGAGAGATCCGACTTGTGGGGCCCGATCACGGCGGTCACGCGGGGCTGGCAGTCGGTGGAGTCGCAGAGAATTCCAGTGCCTGTGGTGTCATTCCGGGTCAGGAACATCAGGCTGGCCTGCAGGGCCACCAGGGGCTCAAAGCAGCTGTCATAGATGTCATAGCCCAGTGTCACCCCTGGCAGGAGGGAGGTGGAATTGTTGATCTCATCGACAGCGAACTTCATCCCCAGAGCCCAGATCAGCCCGTCCATGTTCAACCTGCAGGAGGAGGAGGAGGAGGCAGGAATTACAGGGGTTGTTACAACAGGGAGCAGCTTATTCCATGGTTTTTTTACACTTTGCATCCTGTCTGTGGCCAAGCCAGGCATCTGTGGCACTGTCAGCAGCCAGAGCACCCCTGGACCCATTTGTAAATTTTCTACTGTGAGAATCTGAGTACTTTTCAAATCTAATTAATCTTGTCTGCCAGCAAATATATTCTTGGAGCTTCCCAGGAGAAGGAACAGAGTATGGAGACAAGTATGTTTAGCTCTGAGGGTCAAGACCTGCTCTCAGCTTTGTGTGCTTCACCCCTGAAACCAGAGATTCCCAAGGTGCTAATTCAGGATAAATGTCCTTCTTCCCGGGATTTTCCTCCCACCTGTATCTCAGTACACTGAGCATATTCCCTGCCCCAGGGCCTGTGAAGATGGAAGGATTTTGGCCTCTTTTGGCTCTTCTGTGCTTTGTTGCTGCCAAAGCAGGAGGCAGGACACCAACTTCTCCTCCTCACAGAGAGCTGTGAGGAGCTTGTAACGGGGGTGCTGTGAACCTCCTTGGTGTGAGTGAGTAGGAATTGCTGATTACACACCAGCAGATGTGCAAGCCAGGGCATTTTCTTCCCTGCTTTGCCTTTTACACAGTACTGAGTGTCCTGCCTGTGGAGAGCAGGGCATGGAGCAAAAGCAGCACTTCCACCTTTATGTGTGAGATTCAAGCACTAAGGAAGCCAGTGCTGCTAAAAAGCTTCCATCAAAACAGGTGCCTGAAGTCTGACAGCAGTGGCATCAAGAAAACACAAACCCACTTTCCATTTTGGGATCAGAAGCTGACATTCCCTTACCCCAGTGCTCCAGCACCTCAGAGCTCCTCTTTGCTCCATCCCACCTTCAGTGTTGGCTGTGACACCACCAGAAGAACCACTTTCCTTTCTCCCCCCAGCTGTGGTGAAGCCAAAATTGCTCTTATCTCCCACACACCCATAGGATGACTTTCCTTTCTCTCCCCTGGAGAAGCCAAAATTGCTCTTATTTCCCACACACCACTAGGATGACTTGACTTTTTCCTTTCTCCCCCCCAGCCCTGGTGAAGCCAAAATTGCTCTTATCTCCCACACAACACCTCTTACCTGTCACACACCACCGGGGTGGGCTCCACACGCATCGACAGGTTCAGGGTGTCCTTCCCAAATGGGAAGAGCCCTCCCAGGATATAATCCCCGGGCCTCCTGAACTGAGCTGACAGGCACGTGGGGCTGAGGGCTCCTGCACAACCCAAACCCAGGCACAGCAGCAGCTCAGGGACCATTTTTGGCTGTTTGAGGGGGAAAGAAATCTCTGAGTGACTGTGGGAGAGGGGCAGGGGGGATCCAGTGTCATCACTTTAAATAGAACTCGGAGATGAAAATATTGGGCAAGAATTTGTTTAGCAAAATGCATTAATTTAACTCTGTGCTCAGTGGGCAGTAGTCAAATATGCAGCAATGCCCTCTGAGTGCTCTTGGTTGGAAAACCACTGCCCTCATCCTGCTTTCCTTTGCTCAGAGTGAATTACCAAATTCTTTTGGCCCAGCTCTGGAAATTGGGGGCTTCCTCTGGGATAGGTGGTAAAAAACTCAGGCGCCCCACTCTGATTTTTGTAAAACCTCTTTGTAAGAGGTTTACACAGCAGTAATTTTTATTTATATATTTTTCAAATTCAGGGTCACCCCACGGTGGAGATAACCAGCTCTTCCTCAGGGCATCACAGGAATTTACCTGGAGAAGGCCAGTCCTGGGTCACAAGGTTGGTGCTTGTTATTTTTTAGGAAGTTTTTACTGGCTGGTTGAATTTTTTTTCCTCACACTGAGCTATGATATTGATTTCAGTTGAAAAACTTCAGGTTTAGGTACAAGTTCACAGCGTAGCAATTTAGGCTGGATCATGGCTTGCATTTCTCCTGTCAGGTTTGAATTTCAGCACACAGGATAGCTCTGAATGAAAAGTTCAGTTTACTGCATTTTATTGGTTTATTATATATTTATACTGTATTATAAAACTGATGCACCAAGTTGCACCAGTGATGCCCCAAGGCTGCAATATTTCCCTTGAATGAGGAGAAGCAAATACATTGTGGAGAGTTAAATACACCAGGAGTTCAGGCAAGCAACAGTTGTAGCTGTGTTATATATAGGTATGTTTGTACAGACATATTGTTAAGGATACTTTCCCTTTAATGGAATATTTAAGTGATAGGTTTAAATATGTGACTTCTTTTAAAAAGCTCAACTTGATCTCCAGGTAAATGAAACAGACTCTGCCAGTGAGAGAAGATCAGAGTAGATAACAGTGTAAGACCTTCCAACCCCACAATCCCAGAGCACATTCCCATAAAGGACACTCCTCAGAAGCACATTATTCACGTAATTTTATGTCCAGTTAATCCAGTTTCCATGAGGTAACAGTGATGTGCTGGATCACACAGTGTTACATTATGCCCAAAAGACACAATCAGAACATGGTACAGCTTGTGAGGTTCCCCCTCCTCCCCCAAACATTCACATCACCCTGGACTAAACATGTAGTGCTTTCTCAGCTTTCCAGAAGCTCAGTAAATTCCATTTGCATCCTTTGGCTATTACAGTGATTTGCAGTAGAAGCCATGTAGTGATTTACAGTACAAGTGTGGATTTCTCCCCAGTGAGAGAAATCGTTTTTGTAGGCATTTAACACATTCATTAACCAAAAAAAAACACCACCACATGAGCACACAACGTAGAAGCACAGCTGGAACCCAGCTCAGGTGCAGTCTGCAGCCTGGGCTGGACACAGATTAGGAATTGGTCCACATGCCAAGTGCAAAGAGCATGGATTTAATGGGCAGGGGAAGGGCACAGGAGGTGCTGCTGAGGGGGTCTGGGACATCCACCCCCAGCTCCTTCAGCTCTGGGGGACACAGGATTAGCAGCAGTGCTCAGGTGGGGATGTGACCACACATCCTTCACTCAGAGTTATATTCTCAAGGTTAAAAACTCCCCAAAACCCCCCAGATGCAATGAAGCTGATAAACACAAGTGGCCAGGGGAGATCAAGTCGAGTGTAAATGTGTTCAGACTCCACCTCGTGTCACACAAGGCCACAACTAGTGGTGTAAATGCACAGAAGCTGCTGAATTGCAGAGTTTGGCTTTAAAAAGAAACCACCTCCCCTCCCAGCCTTCCTGGAGAGCTGGAGGTGACTCCAGGAACAAAAAAAGAAATCCCTTAAGCAGCTCATAGTGCTGTGAGTTCTCTTCTTAGTCTCAAGGTCTACACACACACTGACATAGATATAAAATACAGATCATACATGTATATATGTACAACACACATAGATAGAAAAAAACCCTGGAGCATCTTTTTTCTGTCTCCCTGAATAGCTTGGCCAGTTCCCTGCTGGGAAGGGAAAGGAAATCCTTAAGCTCATACTGCTGTGGGTTTTTTTTTCCTTAGTGTCAAGCTCCACACACACTCTGACATAGACATAAAATACATGCAGGATATGTGTTTTATATGTATAACATAAATAGATGTAAAAAACCTGGTACATCTTTTTCTGTTCTAAGGTGAGGCACCCTGAATAGCTTGGTTAAGTGGTCAGCTCCCTGCTGGAGAGGGAAAGGAAATCCTTAAAGCTCCTGCTGCTGTGGGGGTTTTTTTTCTTACTGTAGAGCTCCCCACTAAGATATAAAATACATTTCATACATGTATCTATATATAACATACATAGATATAAAAAACCCTGGTTCATATTTCTCTGTTCCAAGGTGAGGCACCCTGAATAGCTTGGCTAAGTGGTCAGATCCCTGCTGGGAAGGGAAAGGAAATCCTTAAGCCTGACACTGACACAGATATAAAATACATGTATGATATGTGTTTTATATGTATCACATAAATAGATATAAAAACCCCTGGTATATGTTTTGTAAGGTGAGGCACCCAGAGTAGCTTGGCTAAGTGGGAAGGGGAAAGGGGAGGTGCCCACGGGCAGAGAGCCAGAGAAACCCTTGATTTCCACCCCAGTCCTGCTGGGATGTGCCCCCTCCTGTCAGGGCAGGTCCAGCAGGCTGTGCTGGGCAAAGAGCTCCTGGGTGATGCCATAGACACTCTGGATGTAGGGAAGGGCCTCCCCCAGCATGTCCACAGCCTGCTCGGGGGGCCCCACGTTCATGACCTCCAGGAAGGCATCCCGGGAGGGCAGGGCACAGAAGGCCAGCGTGGCGGCCTTGCGGACCACCCAGGGGTGGTGTTTGGCCAGCGAGGCGTTGTAGGAGTCCGTGCAGATGGTGGAGGTCCGGGAATCCCTGTGGCCCGTGCGCAGCCCCTCCAGGAAGAGCTGCAGCCAGAGCAGGGCGCGGTGCAGCCGCAGCACCGTCCGGCACCCGGAGTCGGGGCGGCCCCGCAGCTCCGCCGGCCCCCGGGACAGCTCGAATTCCACCATGGACTGCAGGGACTCGTAGTGCTGCCCCTGCTCCCCCCGGCGGTGCCGCTCCATGATCTGCACCTTGGCAACGGCGTCCTTGGAGATGAAGCCGAAGACGGCGCCGAGGCTCTGCAGGAACCTGGGGGACCATGGAATTACGGAATGGTTTGGGATGGAAGGGACCTTAAAGAGCATCCATGGGCAGGGTTAGGGTAAGGTCACCTTCCACTATCCCAGGTGGCTCCAAAGCCCGTCCAACCTGGCCTTGGACACTTCCAGGGATCCAGGGGCAGCCACAGCTTCTCTGGGCAACCTGTGCCAGGAAGGAAGAATTCCTTCCCAATCTCCCATCCAACCCTGCCCTCTGGCAATGGGAAGCCATTTGCTGTTTCCTATCCCTCCATCCCTTGTCCCAAGTCCCTCTCCAGCTCTCCTGGAGCCCCTTTAGGCCCTGGAAGGGGCTCTCGGGTCTTCCTGGAGCCTTCTCTCCTCCAGGTGAACCCCCCCAGCCCCTCTGCTCTGGAGCCAGCCCTTGGAGCATCTCTGTGCCCTCCTCTGGACTCGCATCCTCCTTACCCCGGAGGCCGCAGGGCTGCGCACAGATATCCATCCCCAGAAACCACTTTTTTTCCCCGTGGGAGCTCCCTTCCTGCCCTAACACTGTAATTCTTTGACGTTCCCACCCGCCTCAAGGAGCAGCTGACCCGCCACTGACGCCCCGTGCGCTGTCACTCCCCTCTCCCGTCCAAAGTCGCTGTGCGCGGGGGGCACTCACCGGATGAGCCCCCACCAGCCGCTCAGGTAGGGCTCCAGCAGCACCTCCTGCCGCTCGGTCACGCACCCCCGGAAGGCGTCCAGAACCTCCCTGAGGCTGAACGCGCCCGCGGCCGCCATCGCCCCGCGCCGCCTCCTCCTCCTCCTTCCGCCCCCCTGGGGTGGCCAATCCGCGCGCGGTCCGACTCCGCGCTCTGCCAGCGAGCCAATCGAGTTACGATGCGTCACTGCGGCTCGGACAGGACCAATCAGCGTCTGTGGTGCGTGACAGCGGCGCGACAATCCACGCTGGGTGCGGCGCAGGGAACGCGCGCTGCCGGGGCGGTGGCGGCGCAGGCGCAGTGTGGCGGCGTCAGGGCAGAGGGCCGGGAGTGCGGCGGCCGCGGGGTTTGGGTGGGTTTGGGTGGTTTCTGCGTGGTTCTGTGTGGTTTTTGGTGAGTTTTGTGTGGTCTTGTACCATTATGTGTGTTTATGTGTGTGTGGGTTTGGTTTTGTGTGTTTCTGCCCGTGCTTGGGTTTGGTTTTGTGCGTTTGCATGTCTCTGTGTGTTTTTTGTGTGTTTCTGTGCGTGGGTTTGGTTTTGTGTGGTTTTCATGTGTTTATGTGTGAGTTTGTGTTCGGTTTTGTGTGTTTTGTGTGTCTCTGTGTGTGTTTTTTCCAACTCCCAGCGATGGGGATGGATATCGAACCTGGGCAGGGCCGAGTTTCTACAATTTGTTTATCATCTGACTCCTTTCCTGTCTCTTTTCCCCTTCTCCAGAAGAGAGTTTGGCCTCTGCCCGAGTGTTGTGCCAGATACTTTCCCCCTCTTGTGCCAAACAGTCGAAATGGCTCCTGCAAAACCGGCGAGATCTTCTCTTCCCGTGCCCCTCCCTGAGCAGCGTCTGGAGTGATTCCCTGTGCAGTTTGGGGTCTGGGCTCTGCTAAAATGCCTGAGATCAAAGTCACCCCCTTGGGTAAGTCCAGTCCAAAACCAACCTGAAACACAAACGCTGTGGGATTTAGAATTGAGGGTGAGGTGTGTCGGGTTGGCACAGAAAACTGGCCTTGGTGGCACCTGTAACATGTGGGACAGTTGTGGTTCTTGGCAGCTTCTTGTTTTCTCACTGCCCTCTGTGTGCCTTTCAAGCAAATAAGACTCTGAACAGTCATAATTCATTTGATTAGAGAATTAATTAACGTGTTCTGGTAAAGGCACCGTAGGATTGTACAGTGGAGGTAAAGCATTAGTTCACTTACTGTGGTAAAGAGCCACGGGAAGCAAATCTTTCTCTTTCCTTTCTTTTTTTAATCTGTTTTTATTGGTTGCACAGACACTGTTTCTGTGCTGAGAGGGAACAGGATGTGCTGGGCAGGGGAACTGCCTTATCCTGATGGATAATTTTTGGACTTGATGTGGACTTAATTAAAGCTTAATGAAGCTTCCACTGAGGGCAGAGCACCAGAGGGAACTGAGGTTCATGTTAATCCTTTCCAGATAAAGGATTATTTTGGTTTTACTCAAAACTGTAGCTTCAAGTTGCAGGAAGTTTGTGCAGACCTTTAAGTGCTTCTCTTTTGAAAGGATTGTAAACGTTCCCAGAGATGTTTTACTTGCCTTTTCCCTGTGCCCAGGGGCTGGGCAGGATGTGGGACGGAGCTGTATCCTCGTGTCCATCGCTGGGAAGAACGTGATGCTGGACTGTGGGATGCACATGGGCTACAACGATGATGTGAGTGCAGTGGGGAGCAGGAATGGGGTGAGGGGACGTGTCCTGGCCCTTCCCAGCAGGACTGTTCCACTCTGGTAATTTTTCCTTGAACGTTGCCTGGCTCATCTCCTGTGACACAGGGCTGTGTGTAGGCGTGTGTATGGAATCATGGAATATCTGAGCTTGGAAGGGACCCCCAAGGACCATCAGTCCAGCTCCTGGCCCTGAACAGACACCCCAACAGTCCTACCTTGTCCCTCAGAGTGTTGTCCAAACCCTCCTGGAGCTCTGGCAACTTTGGGGCTGTGCCCACTGCCCTGGGGAGCCTGTTCAGTGCCAGCCACCCTCTGGGGGAAGATTCTTCTTTACCCAAGGCCAGTTCCCTGTCTGTCCCCTGGCAGCTCTCCCCTCCTTTCCCCTCTGACTCTTTCTGCACATTCCCAGTGTTCCAAGGTCCCTCCCTCTGTTGTTTTGTTGGATCAGTGATGCAGCATTGCCTGGCTTTGTGTCCTGATGGATTCCCTGTTTTTCCATGTCCGCAGAGGCGCTTCCCTGACTTTTCCTACATCACCCAGAATGGGAGGCTGACTGACTTCCTGGACTGTGTGATCATCAGGTGAGGCAGCTCCTTCCCTGTCACAGGCCCAGTGGGAAATGGGAATGCTTTGTTATGCTGCCCCTTGCAACCCAAACACGTTCCAGGTCCCTCACTCATATTTTGACTGGTTACCCTGTGCCATGCAGAGCTTTAAAAATCAGAAGCAAGATGTGAGAGCACCAGCCAGGCTGAATTCCATGCAACACCTCCTTTATTCTTTGTGGGGGTTTTTTTTGCAGCCATTTCCACTTGGACCATTGTGGAGCGTTGCCCTATTTCAGTGAGATGGTGGGTTATGATGGGCCCATCTACATGACACACCCCACCAAGGCCATCTGCCCCATCCTCCTGGAGGACTACAGGAAAATAACTGTGGACAAGAAAGGGGAAACCAACTTCTTCACTTCCCAGATGATTAAAGATTGCATGAAAAAGGTGGTGGCTGTGCACCTTCACCAGACAGTGCAGGTAAAGGCTCAGTTCTGGGTACTTTTTGATCACACCAGGGGTTGTTGCAGAAGGCAACAGGCAGTTTTATTTGGAAATGCTGGCACTAATGGAGTGTTTGCCTGGTGGGGCAGGTGGATGAGGAGCTGGAGATCAAGGCATACTATGCAGGCCATGTCCTTGGAGCTGCCATGTTCCAGATCAAGGTTGGATGTGAGTCAGTTGTGTACACTGTGAGTATGCACAGATTTATACACATTTGTCTCTTACATAGACATTATATATAGATATTTATATATATATATATATGCACAGCAATATTTCTAGGTCACTACATCACCTCTTAATGGCCTGTCCTGTTGCCTTGAGAATATTAATGGGTTTCTCTTCTTCCATCAGGGTGATTATAACATGACACCAGACAGACACTTGGGGTGAGTATGGCTTGTAAATATTTCTGACAGGAAGATTCCAGCACAGATTGTTAATAGGGGCTTATCAGCTTTGATTCTTTCTTAGGAGACTGGAACATTTAATGATGGAAAGATAAATGCAATTTTCAATTGTGAGGGTGAACGGGGTTTACATTGATTCTGACAGATAGACCTTAATGTAATCTTCTTTTCATATTAATCTGTTCTGTGAATCTTAACTCATACTAATCTATTTTTAAGGCTGTGTAATAATTGGACTTCAGTGTTTGAACTGTTAGTTCATGGTGCCTTCTCCATGCTTTTAATTCCTACGAGAGTTCGAGTCACAAACTTTAACACTCATTTTATTTTTCCTAGCATATGTGAGAGATTTGTAGTACTCATGTTTCGCACAGGTAATAGACTGGATCAGTATTGCTTTTCAAGGTCTGTAGTGTCTGTTTTGAGCTGGGTTAATTTAAAGGAGCTGTGCCTGCAGAGAGGTTCCTCTGTGGTTAGAGGTTCCTCTATGATCTGATGCTGCCACAGAATTCGCAGTGACTTCAGGCAGGCCAAGGCACAGCCGTGCTCCTGTTTCCTGTCTGCACATGGGGAGGCAGTGATATTGAGAGCTGCAGGTCATTAATGCCAGCTCCTAATTGGATTTTCCTTCCATCCCCTTCCTCCAGGGCTGCCTGGATCGATAAGTGTCGCCCGGATCTGCTCATCAGCGAGTCCACCTACGCCACGACCATCCGAGACTCCAAACGCTGCAGGGAGAGAGACTTCCTCAAGAAAGTCCATGAGACTGTGGAAAGAGGAGGGAAGGTACAGTGGCCATCTCCACAAATAATGCCAGAATTGTTGCTCTCAACAATTTGGTTTCCTGTTACCCAGGAGAGAACAGTGTGTGCACAGTGGGGTCTCACCCAGGCTGGTAGCTGGGATAGTGGTAACTGTGACCCATAACTTCTTTATATGTGCTTTTCTTAGGTATTTCTTCAGTTTTATTTGTATTTCTTCAGTTTTATTTGTATTTCTTCAGCTTTATTTGTATTTCTTCAGCTTTATTCGTATTTCTTCAGTTTTATTTGTATTTCTTCAGTTTTATTTGTATTTCTTCAGTTTTATTTGTATTTCTTTAGTTTTGTTTATTTATTTTGTTTATTTATTTAGTTAGTCAGTTTTTGTTTTGTTTATTGTATCTTAGTTTTATTTATTTAGGTTTATGTGTGTGTGTGTGTTTGTGTGTGTTTGTGTTATGAAGTAGCAGTGGAAATGGAAAACTGCAAAGCTCCTTTGCAGAGCTTGAAACTTCTCATTTTATACAAAAGTAAAAATATAATTATCAGGAAAAAAAAAAACCTTTTAGAATCAGCAGGGTGGGCATTTCAGTCATTTTTATAGGTTGGGATGATAATAGCTGATGGAATAAAACTGATCCCACAGCCTTGCTTATTTTCAGGCACTACTTTCTTCCCAAGATGCAAGTAGTTTAATAAAGAAGACATTTCCATCCCACCCAGAGAGGTGCTGGTTGGGTGGCAGTGCCTTTCATTCATTCCAAACTGCACAACATGTTCCTGGGAAGTGAAAAGAGTATCAGAAAGTGAGAGGGAACTGAGGGACTTGTTCAGAAATAACACCTCTGCAGTGATTTGATGCTGTGTGGGTTTCACAGACACTAAATCCCATCTATTTTGCAGGTTCTTATCCCAGTTTTTGCCCTTGGACGTGCCCAGGAACTTTGCATTTTATTGGAAACTTTCTGGTGAGTGCAGTGTCTCTGTGCAGGTACCTCTTTGTCCTCCTCTGTGCTCCTGGCAGGTTTCTGGGGTCCTTCTGTGTCTGGTGAATATTTGTAAAGGTAGGAAGCTTCTGGACTTCCAGCCTGGATAGCCAGGATCCCACTTTGGCCCTCACAGCTCTGTGGGACACTTCTTTCCACAGGGAAAGGATGAACTTGAAGGC